CATCAGAAAAAACACTTTTGTGCATAGGGAAACTAATGGTACATACGTTGTTTTTAAACCGGGCCAGAATTTATAGTTCCAAATTGCAAAATGCAGTCCAAATGTGGAGGTGGTCGTCACGTTTATCTTCCCTCTCTGTGTCAGACGAATTGCTCACCAGCCAACGATAATGTATAATGTCAAGGTTGAGGTGTGGAGCAACTATGCCATTGGAGAGTAGGGTACCCGTAGAGTGTATAGACATACTTTGACTGGGTCTCTCGAAGATCTCAGGATTCAGAAAACCGGCGGCGACTTCGGATAGGAGGGAGTTACACTCAAAGTTTGACGGTTACCCGTATTGCCGCTCACATTGCCATCACGGTTATTGAAGGCGAATCCGATAGGAGCCTAGACACGCAGCGAGGTGATTAAGCAACGTGTGTTTCTTCCGGGCCGGATTTACCTTCTTGCCGCCCATTGGCCGCCTGTATTTTGCCGCCCCATCTCATTCACTTCTGTAGAAAGTGGAAAAAATCATACGGCCGGGGGGCTATACGAAGCGATAAAAAATTATGCAGCCGGGCTATAGTTCCTATCGCCGGGCTTTACACTTTATCGCCTGGCTGTTGCTTTTTCGCCATCGGCTATAAAATGCTATAAGAAATTGTGTAGAAATTCGTGTGCTCTGTAAATCCATAAGTTTGTACGGAATCACCGTAATATTTACAAACGCACATTATTTTTTTTCATCAATTAAAATGAGAATAATGCATACAGAGTATGCAAACATTTCAAAGTCATGAGTTGAAAAACGCTGACTCCACGAGATTAAATATTAGAGCCTAACACAAGGCGAAGCGGCGGCGCACTGGCGCCTACAAACCTAACAGGGATACTTCACGCATTGCGCAATGCGTGAAGTATCCCTGTTAGGTTTGTAGGCGCCAATGCGCGTTTCGCGCTGGCTGCCCGCTGGCTGCCCGCCGGCCGCTGGCTGCCCGCCGGCCGCTGGCTGCCCGCCGGCCGCGCCGCCAGCGGGCCGCGCCGCGCCACAGCGTACCACGGCGCTTGAAGCAACTATTTCACACCAGAGGTATTGCACAGTATCATACGAAACTGAAGGCGCTCCAACATATTAGGAATGGCAGGCATCCTTCAAAAGTACGGATCTTTCCTCGCAAAATAAATCAAGTTACTACGGCCCAAAAAGCGAGCGGTATTTCAAAAACTCACTAAGTCTTAGCATCCGTAATTAGTATCGTTTAGCATACACTTTATCGCCAGGCTTTTGCTTAATCGCCATCGGCTATAAAAGGCTATAAGAAATTGTGTTGCCGGCTGTAGAAGCTATTGGAAATCTTACAGCCGGCTGTAGGTCTATGGTATTTTGGAACGCAGTTTCTACTTCCAATTTTTACCAGGGCGTTGCAAACGGAGGTACGTGGTTTCGCACTAAAGCCATCCATTAACTTTCCGTAAAAGAGCTGTACAGAAGTGCCTCCAGTTCTCCCCGGACTCGACAACCGGAATCCCCCCGCCGAGATCACTATACCCGACACGAGGGAGCTACTTCACTCCCAAGTTCGGTCATCGCCGAAAATCAAGCAAAACGAACGATTTGGCAACGCCGCAACGCAGGTGCTTTTCGCGCTCGAGCTTTCGTCGACGCGGCAACGTCGGAGCTCAATTCCTGTCGCTTTTCGATATTTTTCACGCCGAGTGGGAGCCGTATCGAAATTGAGTGTGCTTATCGGCCTGAGCCCTCCCGGCACCGGCACTGGCTTTCCAACGTGAGGGCGTATTTTCCTTTCCACGCGAGCCCTGAAAAGCACGGGGTCATACGGAAGACAGAGCTCATCGCAAAATGCAGTTACGTGCTTATGTCCCAGGCGCCACGTCTTAACAGTGTCCTCTGTCCTCCTTGAGTCTCCCGCTCGCCCGGGGGTGGGGGGGGGGTAAGGGGGGCCGTGGAGTGAGCGACTTCCGTCGTCAGCTGTCAGTGTTCCTCAGTCCTTTCGTATCTCGTGACTCGTGGTTGTGGGACCCTCGAACTTGCGAGTGCGACTGCAAGCCGCGTGTTGAGTCTACTCGTGCGTGTGCCTCGTGCAGTCGCGGTTTCGTTCAGCGCGGCCTCGGAGCTTCCGCGCGATTACCGGAGGATTTGGATCGGGGACCGTTGGATTTTCGCGAAATCCCGTCGCTCGTGAAAAAAAAAACTCCGGTACGCCCTGTATATATGTGATCAGTTGAGAAAGCTCGAACTTGTTTATGTTTAATTCGTAATAGTTGAATTATGACATCAAAGTGCAGTTTTTGAATTTAATTGAAAATTTTAATAAATAAGAATAAAATATTCGGTAAAAAGATTTTATTATGAAAATTCAGAATTGAATAATCTTTGTTAAAATTGAAACCATAATTTATTTACCATTTTGAAAATTAAATATTAGTTTTATCTTGACTTGGCTCCGAAGGTTTTTATTTTACTCACGTTCTCAGTAAGTTAACTAGCTCGTCATTTCGACGGCGTTTGAATCAAATGGGCTGTTTAGCGTGAAGGGGTTGGCAATCTTCAGAGTGTGAAATTTCGGATGATTTCGTGTCGGAAAATTAATATTTTGCATATCCAGAGTCAGGCGATGATTATTTTAATGTAGAAATTTAGATCAACCAACACCGTGGAAACGAAAAAGAAAAAACGATTTGGGAGAAAGGAACTTTATTGATTTTCGGTTTTCGACGCTGAACACTCTAATATTCTGAAGTACATCAGCTCAAATTTTCAAGCCGTACTTTCTTTTATTAATGAAGATGTATACGTGTTTGAAATTAATCGTTCCCAAAGTTCCTTGGAAATTTTAAAACCACCTAGCGTGACACACACACACACAAAAAAAAAAAAAAATTAAAAAAAAGTGGTCATAGTGTAGGCAAATTATCTGTTTCACCTAACATGGCCGGATTTACCTTCTTGCCGCCCATGGGCCGCCTGTATTTTGCCGCCCTCTTCTCATTCATTTTGAAACATCAATAAAAACCATCAAGTGAACATGCCGGAGGGAGAAGGGTGCATAAGACGCGTTCATTCGTGTTGGACACATTTTTTGCGGAAGCCCTATCAACACTACGCGCGAAAGTTCATTCCGTAAACCTATCTCTGTGGGGACAAGGCCTTTCATTTGCAAGAAATGAACTAAAAAATTAAGAGAGAACAAACATAAATGTGGTTTAATAATTTTAACTTCCGCCGCCGTGCCGCGCTGACCACACTGTATTTGGCGCAATGCGTGAAGTATTCATGTAGTCTTGTAGGCACTGTGCTTTTCACGCCGCGCCGACCGCTGTTGACCGTACTGTGTTTGACGCAATGCGTGAAGTATTCATGCAGTCTCGTAGGCGCTAATATGTGTTACATGCCGACCGCTGCGTCGAGGGCTTCTCCTTTTCATCTCAAGTCCTCGTCATCATTTCTCTTTGCGCCGCGCCTCTCCAGGCCAAATTGCGTGTTTGGTTTCTCTCTTAACTCGACTCCTTAAAGGTGCTGTCTTTTGTATCATCGAAATACGACAAAATTAGAAATTAATGAACTCTCAGGAAATGAGAGATTTTGTCACCTTTTCTTGTTTGTAATTTTTTTCTGAATCCGATTTTTTTGTACCTGCATTTAAAAAAATTGCAAAATTTGCCGCCCCCTAATTTTGCCGCCATGGGCCGCGGCCCATGTGGCCACCCCCTTAATCCGGCCCTGTCACCTAATAAATCCGCAATTTGTTGTTCTCTATTACTCATATGGTCCGAAAGGGATAATTCTCGGAATTTGTAGGTGTTCTCTGCGCTGAATGGTGTAAAGTCAACCCATCCATACCTTCCTACGATGTAGTGGCAATTTCTACTGGGCATGTCAGGGAAATTTTAAAATTGTGATCTGTAAAACCTGAAAATAGCGTCTGCCGCATCGCTTACGAAGTTCATACAGAAGAAACTTTTTGTTAACTTCAGGGCTGTAAAATTAGGTTTCAAGAAATAGCTGCATTTAATTTTTTTTACAGTAGGCCGAAACCATCGCGATAGTATCATAAATAGGAAAAATTCCAGCCGTTCAACTCAGCGGGCGAGTGGAGCGGTAGCTGCAAGAATCAAAGGCGCGGGATAGGCAACTATTTTAACGCTTGGGAGCGCGTATTGCATAATCACAATTTTGAAGGGATTTTCTATCACGCCGGGCAATCTAGCCAACTGTCTCTAATACACATTACGGACTGAATCCGTGCGACGTTATTCGGTAACATCATTCGATGTTAGTGTACTAGCGCAGCATTTTACCTGTATTTTGAATATTGCTTGGGGCCGCAGGTTTTACACAATCATCTTTTACTGTACTTAACTCCTCGCATATTATGTTTCACGCCAAATGCATTTATCTCTATGTCAATTTCAATCAGAGGAGTCCAAGTCAGAGGGGCTCAATTGCATGCAGCGGTCTGAAGTTTAACGTGACAACTGATTTCTCAATCCAGTAACGGACACATGCGCCAAATTAGGATGGGGGGGGGAGGGGGTTGCATAGAAGAGCAGCCCGGAAAGATCTTGAAAATTAAGTGGACATCTGAGGTGAAATTCCGAGGTGTTTTTGCGGGGAAATCGATTAAATTACAATTTCAAAGATAACAAGAACGTCTTGCTCCTATTTCACAAAATCTCTTGTCTTTCCGGGGAGGAGCCAAGTGTATTTCTAGAGAGACCCCCTGCCCCCTCTCTTCCGCTCCTCAACGAGTGCGTGCTTCATTTTGAAAATTTCACAATATTCTCGTCAAATCGCTAAAATCTTTATCGGAAAATTTTCAACCATTTTTTATTAGATAAATAAATCGAGAATGAGATTACGCAACGCTGCAATGCAATCAACCCCCTTTGGATTGATCCCTTCAAGATTGACCTGTTTTTCTCCATTAAGGTAATTAACTCGTGGTGAAATATTAGGTTACAGGAATTTTCATAAATTTTGTATCTGTTTGCAGGGCGCTTTCAGTGGTGATTCCTCAGAGCAAGGGGCATTTGTCGATGATGATGGAGATGATGGCTGGGACGTTGAGGGCTGGGCAGTCCAGGACACATTTCATGTGCCATCATGTATGTATAATTGTACACTCCATTCAGTTAAATGTTGAAATGGGTGCTAGAGCTTGAAGTGTCAGCAGAAAGCATGTTGTAAAATTTTAAGCAGATTTTAAACGTACGTTAAGCCTCACTAAAAGATAGGTTTTTTATGCCGAAACTGTGTGCTCCGCTCATGAGTACGACTTGTATGAGTTTGTCTGTAACTTAGATTTCAGAGCAATATTATTCCTAAGTTTCATCATAATAAATCAAATTGCCTCTCTTAAAAACATCATTTTATAGCTTGCTAACATTTTAAGCTCTTCGCTCTTTTTGTCATTTTTAATAGACAGAATAAGAGGATTTCCCCGTGAGATGTTTCACCTTTAAAACCACTAGAGACCAAACACCGTACAGGTGTACACCACAGAATGTCATAACTCCTCTTCAAATTTATATTTTTTACTCTCAGTGTCTTACCCGGAGCAGATTTCATACTAATGTTTTTCTGCTTTGTATAGTTGGACTGCCTTTTCCAATAAGGCACGAATATTTATGGCTCATCCACACCCATCATAATAATACCTATCTACAAAGGGAAACTGATCGCACATATGTTGTCTCCATAGTAAGCCAGAAAAAGTGGTTCCTTACTGCAAAATGAGTTCAGTCCAGCTATGGTTTAGCTCCTCCCAGTATTACAGAACTCATTCTGCAAATTTAAAAATTGATATTCTATTGGTTTTCTCAAAATATAACAATAAATGTAGGTATTCGTAAAACCTAGAATCAAATATTTGTAAATGTAAGTACCTACCTGTAAATCTACTCCAAAATTTTCTCAAGAGATAATATATTAAGCATGGATAAATCTTGTAAACTGTCTTCAGGTATACTTAATATGAACATTTTTAAAATAGACTGTGTAATCGAAATTGCATAGAAAATAGATTCAAGATTGTTTCAGGAAATTTTCCGCTGTTACAATGCCTATCCGAAGTGTGTTAATAGTTTTTACTAATTTTCATTTATTTTTTGTAGCGACTGAAACAGGGCAGGGGAGTAGTGAAATAGATGAACTCAAAGCAGAAATCAAGAAGCTTCGTGAAGAAAAACAGCAGGTATGACATAACATTTTGAACATTTTAGAAGCTCATAACATTTTTTATTTCTCAGCCTCCTACTTTTCAACCTCCTATTCTAGAATTAAATAGGTACTTTTCTTCATGTAGTATCCATAATTTAAATTATATGGACACCATTCGAACTCATCAATGATAATCTTTGAAACAACTTAACATGGAACAGGTGTTTTGTGAAAGTGTTTCATTCTCGCCAATTTTCCATTGAACATTTGGAGACTTTCTTAGTATACAGCCTTTCACAATGGCGCTCTTAATTTCAAACCACCAATTTAATTTTCTTTAATGATCTTTTTCTCTCCTCGGAAAGCCATATTATGATGTAATTTCATCCATAAAATATATTGAGATCTCAGAAATTCTTTAATGGTTCAATTCATTCATTGTAATTTTACTTGAGAAAAAATTGAATCTAAGATTTTAGGAAACACATGTAGGCAATTTGTCTAATGGTCGAGCAGATGTTGGTTATTGGGACAAAGTTTTGGGGGCCCTTGAGTATTTCCTTATCATTTGCCAGCCTAACAGCATACCAATAACTGGACCATCTTGAAAGGACTTTATGCACCTTGAGGAATTTTAAATTTTTGGTGTATCTTAATGTAATAACTTTGCTTGAATCTTTTTCAACAAGTTTTATTTTTTTCTAGTATGCACATAAGGACTCTGTAGAATTTGAGGTACCTATTCAAACTTTCCATTTGAGTTTTACCAAAGAAAGCATGAGCGTTACAAATTTGATTTTGACTCATTTATTCTGCTTACTCTTAGCTTAAAAGCAGCTTTATGGAATGTTTCTTCATTTTTTAGTTTCTCTATATATTTTAAATTAGTATTGGCAATGAAATTCAATTGGGTGAGTACTTACCACACAAAATTCCCAAAACGTACCACTAAATTCATGAATTCTGGAATAATTTTTTGCCATTTTCCAAGAATCTGCTTTTCTTGAAATAAGTAAATTACCAACTTCTGCACCATTACTACTATAGTTTTTTTAACCTAGGACCTCAATGTTTTAATATTCCGTTCTCTTTCTTTTTTTAGCTGACTCAGACTGTTACGGCTCTGGAAACTGAGTTAGAAACCATCACTCAAATTGTTTCAAGAAATAACAGTAAGTACCAAAATTCAGTGGTGTCACTCCCCCCCTAGGTGCTTGACGAGTTCCCCCCCTATTTCATTACTTTTCACCCCCCCTTAAACAGCCGCGAATTTCCAGGGGGCGGTCCCCTTCCCCGACGGGGGGTCCGGGGGGCCTCCTCCGGAAAATTTTGAAAATTTGATGCTCTCTAGAAGCAATTTGAGGCTACAGTCAGCAGTTGCGTCTCCGATTCCACTGCAGAAATTTNTTAAAAAAAAAAAAAAAAAAAAAAAAGTCACCCCCCCAATTTCAAACTTGACGAGTTGCTCGTCTACAAACATGGCTACTGACACCACTGCCAAAATTCATTTCTGATGATGTTGTAATGATAAACTTACAACATTTGCGTACTTATCGTAAGTAGGAAAATCAGTGAAGTAAAATTTATATCACCAAAATTTACGTTGATCTAACTTGTTATAGTATTTAAAAAGATCACCAAATGTTCAAGCAAGTGTGTTTCGTGATAGGGACTTTGAAAAAAGAGACACTGTTTATTTTTAGCTTGCGATCTTGAGCAAAAAACACTTCACTACAGTGCGAAAGTTTAGAATCAGTGCGAGAACATTTTCCCTCATCATTGAAAAAATACTCTCCAAAAAGAAACGGAGGTGAATTGATGGTAGGCGAATTTTAATTTTGAGTTCTCTAAAATTCAATGTGGTCGACCCTCCAAAAACTTTCCATGCAGTCACAAAATCCACCACCTCAGGATAAGAAATGTTGCTTTGCATTGTAGAGTTTCTAAAGAGTGTTCTCTGTAATTCGGAATTTTAGCAGGGATCATATCATATCCTAAAAAAATTTTTAGTCGTAGATCTGTGGATGAAAATTTTGTCCATTTTGACTCAGTCCTAAGCCTTTTGTCCAAACCAGCCAGCTGGTAATATGCTGCTTGAGGCCTCCTCAGACCTTTTCACGTCTTGCCGAGTAGGAAACAGAAGTGGAGATAATAAATGTGTCTCATTCATTTTTTAAAAAATCGAATTAATTTTTTTTAGGAAATGCAAGGCAGTTTGAAGAATTGCAGGCGGAAGTTGTGCGATTGCAAAATGAAAATGGGCGTCTTAATCGAGAAAAACTTGAGTTGGAGCAAATCGTTGCTGCCAGTCAAGATGAAAACTCAAATCTATCCACGGGCATCGAACTGGATTTGCAGCATCAAAGGGATCTTGGTAAGAATTGGAAACCTCAAATTTTCTTAAAATGTGTATTTTGTCTTGAATCAGATAGAACGCAGTCGTCATTCGTAGATTTCAAAGAGTTATTGAAGAAAAAAGTGCACATAAATTTAATACGCTATGACCATACCAATTATTTCTATAACAAAAATCTGTTTTTTTTTTTGTTTTGGAAAATGGAAGGTACAACTAAATTTTTTCCAAGGTTCAAAACAAAAATTTCCTGGAATTTCAAATCTTACAAGTACGAACATTTACCTTGTATTTTCTTTGTGTGGTCGTGTTTCATTAAACCACATTGTTTCCTGTCAATTTGTGTCATGAGTTTATGTCATCACCTTCCGGCCAAAGTATCACAAGCGCATTTGTTGATTAATCGAAATATTGAGTGATTTTTTGGAGTTTAGGAATTTTCTGGTTTGTCTATTGCCCATTGTTTGATTTAAATTTGCTGAAGAAAGAAAAAACAGTTTATTACATCAGGTCTTAAAACATGGTATCACAAGTGCCAAAATGGACACTTAACTTTTCTCTTCAAATTTTATCCAATTTAGATGCTGAGAGTGATTTTGAACATGCATTCAAAATTTCAAGTCTTTGTGGTGTTTAAAACAACCGTAATTAAGGTGATTCGATGGATGCCATATTTTGTGTCAGAACGGCATGCGATTTATCGCATCAATAGGTTCCATTTTTTCAGCTACTCGTCATTTTTCTCCAATTTTGAGATGGCAATTCTGTTGTCAGGAGACTAAAGCACTCACTTACCAATTTTTACAAAGAAATTCAGTGTAATAAAGGCGTGGTTTTTTTAGAGAGAAAACATAGCATTCGATACTGATATTGAAACTGCACTCGAATGTGATATTTTCTCTCTAAAAAAACCACGCCTTTATTTCATTGAATTTCTTTGTTAAAATTGGTAATAGAGTGCTTTAGTCTCCTGACAACAGAATTGCGATCTCAAAATTGGAGCAAAATGACGAGTAGCTGTAAAATGTGATATATCGCATGCCGTTCTGACACAAAATATGGCGTCCATGGAATCACCTTAACCTTTTCCATTTTATATTAATTTTATGAAGTTTGACGCCTAATAGGCGTTTGTGATACTTGGGCCACATTTAAAATGAATGTGTCTGCTTTCATCTTTGACTTTTATTTTGATAATTTTTCCTCTGCAGAGCAACTAATAGCAGCTAAAGATTCCACTCAAAGGAAGTACAACCAGCTGAAAGAAGACTATGATATAATGAAGTCGCAGTTTGAAGAATTTCGACAGATCCGAGTGAAAACAACTTCAACTGCATCTCAATCCTCCTACGACTGTGCCTCCGTTTTATCTCAGACCTGTGATGAGATTTCGTCTGCTGTTGCATCCACAAGTTCTCAAACGACGAGTGACAATCCATCCTCCAGTTCTCAGACTGTCAATGAGTCCTCATCGATGTCCTCACAAACCACTATCCAGAGTGTTGGAGCCTCGTCTCAAACAGTCAACGACAATCCTTCTGCTTCATCCCAAACAAGTGGTGTTTCTAGTTCCTTTGCTGCCTCACAAACAACATTTGCTGAGGTGTCGAATGTTGATGGTACTAGGAGGCACACTGATTCAGAATCGAGTGAAGAGGAGTGCAGTTTCCGCGATCTGAAAAATGTTTTGGACTCAGTTCCATTTAAGATTCCCGAGCAATTTGTCAACAAAACTCCAGATGATGGATCAAAAATAATTCAGGTAACTATTTTATTATATTGATTTTTATTTTTGGTCATTCCATCTTGATTTCAAATAAATTGGTGATGATTAGGTACTTTCTAAAAGAAAACTTTTTTGAATTACAATTGGCCAAAGATCCATATTTGCAGTGTTTGATTGTTATAGAGTTCAATTTTTCTTTCATCAACAGTTTTTTTTATTAGCGTGGAATTATTGATACTTTATGTTTAACAATTGAAATTTATTTTTCAATGAGAAATTACTGGCATTGGAACATTGCTAAGAATGCTTTCTTCCTTTCCCTCAAAATTTGTTCTGCTCTTAAATTTGTCTTTATTATTGCTGTAGAATTCTAAAGAAAAGCTAGATGTGAATGAAACGAGCTACTGAGGGAACTTTCATAATTACTGTTCTTCCTCAAAAATGGTTTTCGAAAAAAAGCCGATGAGGGGAGTCTACATTGGCATGTAAACCACAAGTGTAATTGTTCAAAGTTTTTCTCTACCAATTGTTGTTAATATTTTTTGTCTAAACTATTCGATTAATTTTCCAGGATATTAAAGCTCTGACTTCCATGTGTCTTAATCTACAAGAAAATGAGAAAAAATTAGCTGCTGAATTGATGGAGAAATCAGAAGAAGTGTTCTCATTGAGAGCAAAAGTGGAAGAGGCTACAAAAAAAATGACTTTGGTTGAAGAAGAACTGGCTGACTTCGAGCAGAAAGAAACTGATTGGCAAGAAACGGAACAAAAACAGAAAGAGGTATGATTGATATTTAGATAAATTATTATTTTCAGGGATAGAATTAATTGCTACCAGGTGTGACTTGATTTTTCATAATGACGGAAATAAGCCGTACCCTAAAGCTCCAGGCATGTTTTCCTCTCATAAATCACAAGAGAGTAGTTGTAGCACCACTCACTTAGTTCACATTCTATCTAAACATGGTATTTTCTATATTAATCAATTTAGGTTTAATTGTATAAACTTGAGTAAAAAGATTATAGTTTTTATCTATGGCTTAAGGATTTCTGGGTTTCTGATTTTTTTTTTGGATGATAAATTGACTAATTGAAAAGATGTCATCAAGTCATGGTGAGGCTGTGTGATGCATGTCAGGCTATAAATGCCTCTTGCCACATTATCTTTTTACTGGTAAGTGATGAAATGATAAATAAATTGCTCTCCCACTGATAGCGCCACAATTGAATGGCTCTAATTGAGCAGCCAAGAGCATCGTGATGGTTTCTCACATATATCAGTTTTGATTGTTCTTTCCAATTCCGTAGATTATTTCTTAGAAGTTGAATAAGTCAGAAGCCTCAATACAATCCCCGAAAATTCCCTCAGTATCATTATTTTTGTCCTAAAAATTAAGTATATTATGTGACTCTTTGTTATAAATTTCTAGGAGATTGCAAAACTTGTTGAGGCTCATGCTACATCAGTGAAAGCAGAACAAGACTTAAATACTGAATTGACCAGAAACAAGAGTAAAATTGAAGAGCTTGAAACTCAGAAGGCTGCACTGGAGGCAAATTTGGAACAACTGCAAAGTATCGCCCAATCAAATAATAGTCATGAAGAATTAAGATCAGAGCTTATGAGCAAAATAGCTGATCAAGACAATCAGGTACTAACTTCACCAGTTTTTTCCATTTTTTATACATTCATGTTTTAGCTCTCTTGGAATTTTAATTCTGGTACGAATTACTGAGTGTATTCGTGGCAACCTTAAGATCTCTATGGGTGAACTATTTCATACTTAAATGAATTCTAAAAAAATAGATACATCTGTTCCAGAATATTTTGGAATGACCTAATTACCAGTTATATTGGTGCATCAAGTACTTAGGTTAGACGTGATACTTCGAGGAAAATTGAATAATTTAGATTGAAAATTTCCCAACTCTAAAATTTTCCAAAAATTTGTCTTATTGCAGAAAAATCTCATTAGATTCAAATTCAAATTTTATTTATTTGTTTGTTCGCTTGTTTTTTTTACCTTCCAAAAGGTTGCCATTGGCAATTTCTGGTCAGTTTGAAAACGACCCATTTCTTAAGTTTTAAATGGCTTATAAGTATTTCCAAGACAAACAAAGGGTAGACTTTTGTCCAGTTGCCTGTTGGTCTCTCCAAGTTTTATCAACAACATACACTTAAAGTATTTTGAAATAATCAACTATTGGCTCCAATCTGTTATTTTTTGTGTGTTTTTACACGAATTTCCCTCAATCAGGAACTGAACAATTCAATTATGCTTGAATGACCGTTTCCTTCCTTAAATTGGGCGTATCGGTGTCATTACCAAGATACACAATACCTAGTGGCCGAACAAAACTCCCCATCCATTCGAGCATTCTTGCATCTCTTGAAACAAATAGAACCTCCGGCAACTGTTTTCATTTAAATATGGTTTTTGCTACTTCAAGATCAGTTAATTAAACTATAGAAAATAGTCACTCATTTAATTTCCAATCGGGAACTAAGTGCTTTTCTGCTGCTGCCTTTAAATGAATAGGTCGATGTTAAAACTAAAATGTCCATTATATAAGCATATAATAGCAAGTCAGAATATAACCATTCTTAGAGAGCTCAAGGCTCATCAAGATATGGATTGGATAGGTTTTTACATAGATTGTTTCAAATATTCCTTGCATCTGACTTTTTTCTGAAATCGTTATTATCTTAACTTTTTTTTTTTCATGTTAGATATCAGCTTTAACGGAAGCCAGGACAGACCTTGAATCAGAAGTGCGGCTTTTGAATGACCATGTCAAAGACTTAACTTACCGGTTACAAATGTCGGAAGCTACAACTTTAAATCAAAATAACCTAGAAACAGAAACGAACAACCTGAAAGTTGGATTAGAATCAGCAAAAAGAACTATTGTAACCTTGAATGAGCAGCTTAGCTCTGCTTCAATTGATATCAACAAAAAAACAGAACTAATCAATGGGCAAACAGAACTAATAGAAGATTTGCGACAACAGATTGAAAATTCGACCAAGGAACACCAATCGCAAGCTGAATTAAACTTAAAATTATCTGAGGAAATTGCAGCATTGAAACAGAACCTATCCAGTAAAGAGCAAGAATTGAAATCTATAGAAGAAGACTATGCGGAGCTAAAATTAAGCCACGAAAAAAAAGATCGTGAATTGTGTAAGTACATCCTGGAAGAAAAGCAGCTGAAAGATGAATTGAATGCTTTAAAAAAGAAGTGTGAAGCGATTGAAAGTGAGAAAATAGTTCTGACTGAAACTTGTGACTCGCTCACAAGGGAAGTCGTATCACTTCAAGACAAAGCCTCAACTAAAGAACATACACAGGATCAAATTCAAAAACACACTCAGCTAGAGAAAGATTTAGAACAGAGGCAACATGATTATGAGAATGTTAAGGAGAAATTGAAACAAATAGAATTAGAAAATACTGAGCTTCGGGAAGAAAATAATCGGTTGAATGAGATGCTCTCTCTAGAAGAAGATGACTTGGAAACTCTAAAAAGTAAAGTATCTGACTTAGAAGATTTTGCGCAAAAATGTCAAGATTATGAAGAATTGAACGAAAAACTTAAACGATTGGTGACAGAGCACGATGAGCTTTTGAAAGATAATAGTAGACTAAATGAAATCATCAGTCAAAGTGCTGATGAAATAGCAATGCTTAAAGAAGGCACTCAAATTTTAGAAAATATAAAATCAGAAAATGAAAAATTAGTCAAAACAAATAGTGATCTTATGATGGATCTACAAAAATTAAATGAGAATTATAGTAATCTAAAGTCAGACCTCTCGAGCAAGTCAGAAGAACTTGTCAACTTGAAATTAGTTGCTGAATCATATGAAGTACTTAAAACCAAATATGAGAGTTTAGAAATGGCTGTGAACAAATTGATGAATGAGATTGCTGATAAAGACGCAGAAATTAGTAATTTTAAGAAATCAAACTCGACCAGTCAGTCAGTCTTGAATGAAATTAGTACATTAAAAAGTGAAAAAGAGCAGCTTATTCAAAGTTTGCAGGTGAGCTATTTTTCTTATTCCATCTCTGTTCAAATTCCATTTGTTTTAACCACCCCTTAGCTGAGTTTAACGCTATTAGTGTCAAACATACAGGGAAAACTGTGAGTGAAACAGACTCTTTCCTCCATCTTTAAGGTGACATGGCATGATTGGGCTTTTGCCCAAAAATTAATAAGATTCTGTTTTAATTTTTAATTCAGCTAAATTCATCCTCTCATATCTGTTTTACCTATTATTTTTTAAATCTTACTTTACCGCAAATATTTTTGACTATGCTTCAATAAAATGACTTACAAACCGAAAAATAAATGATCTAAAAAAAAATTTGTCAGATTAGAGGGTCCTCACATATTTGGGAGAAAACTCCGCGTGACACTCTCAGGACATGGTCACAAGGTTAGATTGCCGAATTTTGTTAAATTATTTCAAAAGTGGATTTTGATGTCGAGTAACTTCTGACTTTATTAATGACCATAGTTTTTGAAGTTCAGAACTTTTTCGACCAATTTATTCAAATGTTTGCTTTTTTTTCTTAGGTAAAACATTCAGAGAGTGTAGGCTACCATAGCGAGCTGCAGCGTATCAACGGACTTTTAGAACAAGAGCTGGCCGAAAAACAGGAGCTTGAGAAAGCGGTGAAAGTGACTCGGGAGCAGCTAGATGGGAACGAGAAAGTTCTTAAAGCCCGAGACAAAGAGATCGATCTTTTAAAAGAGCAGATCCAAACGCTCCAAACCCAACTAGAATATGTCAGTCAGCTTCTGCGTGTTGCTGACCGCCAAGAGGCTGAAGGAGAGCCTGATATAAAAGTGAGCAATATGTTCTCAGCTATAATAATTAAATTTATTGAAGTACTTTACAAAAGGGGTCTCCAGGGCAACATGTATATTCCATTGAGGAGGTGAAACATTTTGTAACAGAACATGTTTAGTAAAAATATATGCATCCATAAAACATCAGCTGTTTTAGAATGATAGCAGAACAATGTAAAAATTCGTTAATTTGATCCAGCAGAAAGAAGCTACTATTTTTAACACATTTTTAAAACAACACATTTGTTTCCCCATGGAAATAGGTGCTTATGTGAATGGGCAAGCTGAGAATTCCTCAATATTATATAATTTTGATGGGTGACTAGTTAGTGCTGTGATGACTCTGTTGTTGAGATTAGCATGATCTTTATACAAAAGGGAGTAACGATTTTCCAAAATGATATTTAATTATCAATTCCCGAAAGAATAAATTTTTTTATAATTTCGATAAAAAAATATGTGAGCAATCTAGAGTTTTTGTCCATCAACCCTGGGTTTCTCTCAATTCATTTAAACTAACTGGTGAATTTTTTTTTCAAATGCAGCAAAAAAGCAGTGACTCAGATGATCGAAACCAAATCCTTCAAAAGATCGAAATTCTTCAGGAAGAAAAGAATAGTCTGAACTGTGCATTAGAAGCAGAACAGAACAAGTGCAAAACAATGTATAATGCGCTACGAGAGGAGAAAGAGAAAAATCAAGGCCTGAAAAATGATTTAGAGCGTCTCAAGTCACATTTGGTTTCAGTCGAAGAAACTTACACCCAAGAGCTAATGAATGCTGAGAAGCAGATCGAAGAATTGCAAACACGTTTATCCTCTGCAGATGAACGAGTTAAATCATCCTCCACAGCTTATACTTCTGCGAGGTAATTCATTTTATTCTTGCAATTATTTTTATTCGGAAGGGGTTTTTTCAAAATGCTGAACACTCCTTTCAGAGTTGCATACTAAGCGTTGAAATTCAGATTTTCAATTTTCAAAGTTTTGAGACTGCATGGTACCAAGGATATTAACTAAGTGAACTGATTTGCAATGAAGAAAATAGAAACAGATTCTTTTCCAGGAGTGGCACCTGTAACTGAATGTATAACTATAGGAAGATAAAATAACTTCTGTATGGCTGACTAAAAATTATGCACAATATTCTGGGAAGGGGTCTGAAGCTGTATCATAAGAGAGGACGGAGGTAAAATCCAGCGTTATTTCATCATCTAAATTTAAAAAAGTGTACACATTTTTGAGAAGAAAAATGTCCTTGAAGCAAACACCCTGAAGCTCTCAAAGTCTTACCTGGTCTGGAAATTTTGCCAAGGAAAAAACGTCATCTACAATTTTTTGAGGATCACAAATTCAAAAGCATTTTTTTTAATTAATCTGCTTTCAGTATCCGCGCCAATCAGCAGGTAGAATCATTGACAAATCAAGTTAAAGTCCTGACAGAGCAGCGCGAGCTGATTCAGCAGAAATTGAATGAAGCAGAGGATCAGGTTCAGAGCCATGGTGCATCACTGACCAACCTACAGATAGTTTTGGAACAATTCCAAATAGGTCAGCCTCATCACCGCTACTATTTTACCCCATTGTTTATGTTCGTTTTCCATGAAAGCCCCTCTGAGTGATTAAAGTAGTGTTTAAAACATGCGTTACTCACCAGCTGAAAGTTAACCCTTCAAGAGCAAAAACAAAACCACTTTACTGGGCTTTTACTTCGTGTAGAAATATATTTTGCAAAGAGTCTATTGTCCTCAGCAACCGAAATATCGCTGTTGTTTCAAAGCTCTATCTTCAAGTAGAGAACACAAACAATTATGGAGGTGAGCTTTACCAGAAATTGTTGTTGGGTATTCAATAGGTACCCTTTTTTTTGGTCTCTTTAAGCTCAATTCAACTTTCCGATACAGTTCCTTAATATGAAGGGTAAGAAGTTGTTCAGTAGTTAAAATTTGCAGAGCTTGAAGAAGTTTCAGAAGAGCTTTTCCTTCAAAATCTAAAAAAATTTGAATATTAGTTAACATAGACATCTCTCCCTCGATTATTCTTTGTTTTTTAGCTGAGAGTCATTCTTAAACCAGCCGAAGATTTTTTTGCTCAAAGTGAAGAATTCCTTTGTGCCCTCTCTATTTCTTTCTAAAAAACATTTAGAATCTTCAACCGTTTGAATCTCAGATTAGGTTTTTCAGGATAACTGCAATGCATCCTTTCCTGAACTATGTCTAGCTGTAGTTAATTTCCTTTTTCAATATAATATAACACCACTTATTAATTTTTCTGCAATTAGTTATGTCCCTGCTAGAGCAGAAAATATTAAAAAAAAAAGTTAGAGGTCGAGAATTCTCATTTTTAGGATTCCAAGGGTTAAGGATGGATTAGGGACTGAAAATTTACAAAAGTTGTGGACATGTACTAACCTGAACCTGAATTTTGCATTCATGTTGTCATGCTCATCAAGTTTTTCAACTTCATTTTCTAGATAAAGAAAAGGATATTCTGCTAGCAACGGAAAGGATTCAAGAAAATTTGCAAGCAGCTTACCGGAAAAACAATCAGCTCTGCTCGGAAATTAGCACCTTGCAGGTATGTAAAATCCATTCATCTGGAGTAGGATTAGATTTGTCAATCTCAAACCGATCAAACTATTTCCCTGCCGTCTCCTTCGTCCTTTACATCTTTCTTTGTTCTATTCCCAGAAAACCTCAGGCTGCTTCACGGTTTAAGGACCGCTCATCAAATACGCAACGCTGAATTTCGGATTTTTCGAACCTACACCCCTGGTAACACTTTTGTGGCGTAGGTCTTTATCCTTCAACACCTAAGAACAATATGGCATGGAGCTCTCCTAGACCGCCTTCCCCCTGTAGTGTTTCAAATTTTATGAACAGTCCCATACAAAATAAAATTTTCTATTTAATAAGAGCTGCTCAGCAATAATGAATGTTGAATTTTATTTACTGTTACAAAATTAAGACAAATTTTTTTTTTATTTTTTCTGATGGAGGAACTATATGTCCTTTTCCCGATGGTCATATAAATTTGGTTGTTTTATTAGTCGAAATGTGGCATATTTTTAATCTACCAGGCAGCACATCCCCTGACCGCTTTGCGGTCCAACCATCCCCCCTAAGTGCTTTGAGCCTCAAGTAGTGTGCGTTATGAGTCACTCTCGATTTTACATTATGGAGTATGATTTGAAGGCAGAATATGTTAACATGACTTTGATCGCGTTTTTTTCTTATTTGTCAGACTTCTCCCCTTTATATCTAAAATGTGGTAAAAACAAATATCCTCCTTTGAATTATTCCATCTCTTACTAGTGTATATTTCTGATTGTTATTTTACCCTTTAGACCCAATTAAGCGAAGCCAATGAAGGTCTGAAAGCAGCTGCCAGATTTACAGACCAGTTGAATGCTAAATCAAGAACGATTGAAACCTTGGAGAAGCAAGGTAATGTTTTAATTTCTTTTTTCCTTTTCTCTTGCTGCAAAGTAGATCAACATCAACTTGATTAAACAGCATGTTTTAGCGCTTGTTTGGCTGGAACTCAAATCTCTGTAACAGTAATTGAACTTAATAGCCTCTTAATCTTGTAATCTATAGTACATACCATCAATCAGCATGATTGTAATTAATTGTATGATTTCTTAGATCTTAAGGAAATGGAGCATATAAGTTAAAGCATCATATGCCTAGCAGCATTTGCAGGGTTATCACAGCACAGTCAGGGAATACTGGAAAATGTTAGTGGAAATGACACAAGAGTTAGGGAATTTTTTTTGAAATATCGCAGGCAAGGTTTATGTTTTTATAGTTTCTATATCATAATGAAGTTTTGACTTATATACTCCCTAGAATTTCACAAGAAAACTGCCGCCAGTGTCTACTCTTGATTTTTATCTGAGAATAGTACATTTTTAGCTTTAGTGAAAGCCATGTCTTTTGGATTCAGGCCAGGTCACTGTTAATTTTAGAAAATCCAAAAATTTTAATATTTATCATCAGAATAGGGGCGGACAAGGCAGGTAGTCTTCTTTTAACTTATATAGCTCATTGCTTCTTTACGAGACTTATTTTATTGTTAAAATTTTAATGAATGACTGCATTTTGCTCGTCTTGCCTTGCTTCATTCTTCTTTAACCCTCAAGTTAGTCTCTTATGTAAAATTTTACCATTTATACCTAATTTTTTTTTTCTTTTTAAAGTCTCTTCATCAGACATATGCAGCCTTCTTTTTTATTTAAAAAAAAATATCAGAACTCAATTGTGAAGGAACAAAAATATTTAAACAATACAATCCATACCTCTTTATGAACATATTTTTAATATTTTTTGTCCTCTTAAGTTTCATTTTAAAGTGCTTGCCTTCTAATGTGCATACTGATCTTATCTACGTTCTGTTCCTTCTCTTATGAAAATTCTACTCAGTTTTATACATTTTTAAATCTAATCAACGTTAGACCTATAATTCATAGCATCTTCAGTCTAGAATTTTAAAATTTCTCAAATTGTCAAAATGGAGAATATTAATTGACCTCTGGCTTATTGCGGAAAAGTAGACCGTTTTAAGAGTATTTGTTGACCTGAGAAAATAAATCCTGTTGCTGTAAATTTAATTTGATGTGAAAAATCAAATATCAGCTAGATGCCTGAGTGCAGTATCTTTTCAAGTCTCAGGTATCTACTTGATACAAGATTTTCTGTCAAAATATACTTATTTCATCTTAGATTGACGACAAAATTGCAACAATTTATTTTCCATCAACTTGGTTATTAAACCTGGAAAAATCAAGATTCAACTTGATCAAATGTTTAAAGTCTAATGAACAGTTACCTATCAACTTCTTTGCCAATTCAAGTGCATCATCTCATGTGTGATAATAATGGTACCAAACCGCACATGTTTCTACTGAAAGTTCCTACTTGGAACAATACAAACTCAATTAATAGCACAACGAATTTGTATCAAGAGGTTCATCTTTAAATTCAAGCTTTTATCCCAAGTTTGTCCCTTAGAATTTTACACGTGAAAGGTGGATGGAATGAAAAATTTAAAACCGAGTAATTTCTTAGTCGGTGCAATTCTATCTATTAAATGGAAAAAAAACACCAAAAACACAATATGTTTTTCATTTAATCAATGCACATTAAATACAACTGCTGACTTTAAATTTTTATCTGAATAAAGAGCCAGTTTTGAACTACCAGTTATATCAATTGTGACATTCGGAAAACATGTATTTCAATGGCAGTGTCAGTACATGTCCTCTTTTTCAACTTTTCTCAGAAGAAAACCGACCAATCTTTTTGTATCCAATTTTAATCAGAAGTTTTTAGATGGTTGGAGAGAAATAATGCAAATTTTCTTGAATTTTAAAAGGCTGGTTTTCCTTCATTAAAATGAATTGTGCCAGGAACTTTGGATTATTACGAACCAAAGCTTGTGTTTTCCAGTTTCACCATTGATGTGTGTTGTTATCAATGCAAAATTGTTTAAGGACAGTAAATTAAAAATGCTTCAATTCAGACCCTGTTCAGCATTAAATTCTACAAACCGCAAAATAGTTCTACTAATGCAGGTGAAATCTCAGGTTTTTTGGGATGTTTACCTCTGGTTTAGTAATTCAGTATTAATGTGATCAGTAGCATAGATCTTTCCTTTTACAAAAAGGCTCATTGTTTCAACAAGCTCTATTAACCCATAAGCAGATTTCAGGTCCATGGATTTTCAAATTACCCCCTGAAAATGGTCTATTAAACGCACAAACCCAAGTTTAGTGGTGAGAGTTGAACATTATAAAGTTGTAGTGGATCTAATCTCATACAGTTATCCATGAGTATCCAGGTTTTTAGTCACTCAAGGTACTGTATGAGGTGCTATTCATTACCAAATCAAAACATCTCTTCATTTTCTCATTACTCAGTCTTTAGCCTTCCATCTATTCATTCAAAACTTGGAATTCCATTTTCTCATGCATGTTTTCTGCCCAGTGTAAGTTACATAGACTTATAATATAATCTGGACCGCGTATAGGGTCTGACTTAAGGTGGAAGAGGTATGACAGCTAGGGGGATAATTGCTGCAACCTGATTTATGTGTAGCATTGGATGCTGCTCATTGTCTTGTATGTGCTGTGCTAGAAAGGGCTGCCTGAGGGTAGTTTATTCCTGGCATTTTGCAGTACTATATGCAATCAGGGTTGCCTATCTACGGTCTCATCAAAAAATACGCACCTGTGGTCTAGATTGTATTATATGCCTATGGTGAGATATTTTTTGAAAAGAGAGAATCGATAAGGGAGCGCTCAAGTATTATGAACGCACTTAATAGGAGGAAGGCTTACATTTGTGTAAAACATCGGGATAGAGGCCAAAGCCCTGGGTCGTATCATAATCCAAATTCGAAATAAATTGTACGCTCCTTAATCTCCATAGATTTATGGACCTCAGAGGGACAAAGCTCTGTGTTCCATAATGATCTGAATTTAAAAAGATTGCATGCTTTTTAAAAGTAAAAACTTATTAGGCAATATTTTGTTTTGTAGCAAAGAAAAATTGGGTGAGATCCTGTCTCGTGTATCACAATTTTATGAGATGGGGGGGGGGGGGTGAGAAAAATACATAAAAAAGGTGTCGCCAATAAGTACCTAACACTTGATCGCTCCCTCTTGATTTTTGTCATCAGAATGTACGAACAATTTTTGAAGAGATATCTGAGGAATCAATAACATAAAAGAGAAGAATAGGTTATTATACACTTTCATATTAATGATATCAATTAATTGCAATGTCTAAGAGCTGTCTATTTTTTGTAGTTCCTATAATGCTTGTATTTATTTAACGATTATCTGAATTATTTTTTCTTTGTTTTAACCCGTACAAATAGAGTTATTATCCATGAATTTTCTTTCTTCACCATTTTAACTTCTTTTTTCTGTAATCTTGTAATTATCATGTGAAGGTAGGGATGTTTCTAAAGCATGCCTCAGATATCAACCTGGCTATTTTTACTGTAGATTTCGTAGATTTTTTTATGCTGTTTTCTTTCTTATTATTCGGACCCAATGCGTAGTTGCCACTAAATTTTTTTGCCTGATCAATCAAAATTCAAATTCTGAACAACCAACCAATGTATTTGAAGCGATATGAGGGGGCTTCCTGCTTCCTTCCTCGATTTTGTTAACAAAAAAAATCAGTTATAATGCTTCTTTTTTAAAGAAAATAAAATTGAAATAAAATGTTTTCCAAGATTTTCACACGAGAGAAGTTAAGAAGAAATATGCACTATAAATATTTTTTTTTTTGCTAGTATTTGTAGGTGGGATAAAAATCCAAAGAAATTTGAAATAGCATTTCATGAACTAGAGACTTTAATTACTGCATTGAAGATTCTAGTATCAAGATAAGAACTGAAATTCTAAAATTTCAGCGCACCTTTCAGAGCTCAGCTCCATGCCTCTGTTAGGCATTGCATACGTACCCTACAGTTTTGATCTCTAAGCACTGTAGCCTCTCATTTTTGGTTCTATGACAACCACAAAGAAGTTGTGTGTTTATGGAAAAAAAAAAGAGAAAATCCCCTTGAGAAAGTATACTCTGAAATGTTTATGCAGAAACTTCAGGAAATGCTCTCTTGAAAAAATAATGAGAATAGGAATTTTGAAAAGCCACAATCAAAGCACATTAGTAAATTCATTTATCCATTCTGGACCAAGTTTCAAAAGGTTGCCAATTTTTCTTAAAACGCGGGTTCTTTGAGATTTATCAATCAAGAAAATATTAGTATGGATGGAGAATTTTCCAGATCGAAACATTTCTTTGAGAAATATTAAAAAGTCTCTTGCTCAGAATTCGAGGAAAAAAGAAACAAATCTTAAAACTTCGAAGTATTTGGTTATTGTCAATTGATTTTTGCCTCTCAACTCGTATCCATCAGTTCTTCCTCATTTTCAGTAAAAGTTAGGTTTCTTCTTTCCTCATAAAATATTCTCCCATACACAGAAAACTTGTATTCTCATTTATTTTGATGGAGTAACAGCCAGTTAATTTCTATCCGTGGAGGATATCTTATATCTTACCAAAAGCAAAGTCTGAGAATCGTCCGAAATAAACTATTATGTCTATGGAATAAACTTGGCTTATCTAATTCAACGCTCTAATTTGAATGACTCGGCTGTTTAGCATGAACTACTTGCATATTGTTGGCCGCTGTCTGCTGCTCAACGCTCATCGCATGTCGTGGCTGTTGGTCGTTGAGTATTACATCAGATATTTGAGTATTTTTTCACTTCGAATACCTGTGCAATGCTCTCCGATCGCCAGACCAATTCGCCTCTTCATTTCTTCGTATCTTTCAACTGTTTATTGCCCGAATGACTTATCTTCTGCATCTCCTTCTGTTTTTAGTTTATGATTTTTTTAATTTAACAATCCACATACATATTCAACCTAAGTGTATCAATCCATTCATGTATTTTTCTTTTTTATTCCAATTTATTTACTCATTTGTCTATTTTTATTCATTTGATACTTTTCTCATAGCTAGTTTATTAATTTTATGTCCATAGTGTAGTGTAAACAAAAGTTCTCACGCGGTTCAACACTGTCTTTTGTGCCTAAATATTATTATATTTTTGTTAAAATCTTTGAAGTAGGGGGAAAGAGGATTGTTCTAAGTTCCAATGTGTAAGATTTAAAGTCTTTCAAGAGGGTTCTTCTTCCTCCCGTATTTTGATCAGAAGTTTCTGCATATAAAACTTGATCAATTTCAAACATAATATATTTAATATGAAAGAATCATGTTTGAAATTTTTCAACCTGACAATATCAACTGACGTTGATTTAATAGGTGAAATTTCAAACAATCCGTGCTCCCCCCCCCTCCCCTCACCTTTTTCCTACTCTTTCAAAACAAAGAATCGAACAATTTACAAATTTAATTCTCAGGTCTTAGTATACATGTTTTTTAGACTGCTGCGTCCAACCAAGGGCACTTGATAATTCAGCATCCATCTAAACTATTAGGATAATAATTTGTCTTATTCAGTCACTCATTATATTTTAAACAAAACGAAACTAAAATTCAACTCCTTTTAATATGTATTTACAATCGTAATCCATTTTATTTTTACTGCTCAACCAAAGAAAAATAGTCATCTCTCAGAAAGAAGTTAATTAGTCTACTTCTTTAAGAAACATCATGAGGAAGTAAACAAACGATATTTTTCCCCCTCTGATTTCCAAGATTCTAATGGCAGCTGGAAAAATTAAACATTTCGTGTCAACTCCAGTGGGCCATCAGGGCACTCTGCGTTCAGTTTCAGTTACCACTTTTTTAATTCAATGATGAATATGATGTCATCTAAACATCAAGCATCATCCTGATGATCTCTGAGCATCACTGCCGAATTGAAGAAGGGAAATATATAGTTCCTTTCAATGAGCACTCATATTTTATTTTTTGTTTTTTTCAGTTGCTGAGTTAAAAGCAAAATTAAGCAAGGCGGAAGCTAAGATCGATGCCGTGAGCCGTGGAACAGAAAGCAAAATAGACAGGTAATGAGAATGTAAAAGTACTATTTTGGGAATGTTTTTGTTGAACAGCCTACAAGTCATTTTTTCAGCTTCATTTTCAAACCAAGAAGCATTTAAAATTTTTCATAAAATTTACCGTTTTTATTCTACAGATAAATTTATCATACTGTTTTCACGAAAATTTACATTCTCGCATTTTCTTATTCCCCCTGAAGGTTACTCGCTCATGTTGTTTGCGTACCTACTTATACCAGATTAATTTTGCAGTATCTACTTATTTAATAAAAGCGCTTAATGCAGAAAGGGCACCTCTTGGTTGCAGGGTCTCAGAATCTTTAGTAGTATTTCATCCGTTTTAAGTAAAGCAAATGTTTGGGCACTCCCAGTCTTAATTACATAAACTCTAAGCACACTAAATTTTTACAAATTTAAGGAAAATCTTTTGGAGCTGCGAAACAACTGTCCTTAATTTTGTAAAAAGCTTTTTTCCATTTCTCCTCTTCTGAACTGCCTTTTCTGATTATTTTTAAGGTGTTTGGTACGAAATCTAGTCGTTGGGTATCTCAGTGCCCCAATCAATGGCAGAACACAAGCTTTAAACGTTTTGGCAACTGTCCTTGACATGAGCAAAGAAGACAAGCAGCGTGTAGGGCTCGAGCCCGGAGGCAATGCATCCCATTTCCAAGTGAGTATCTATTTGAGTGATCTGCAGAAAGAAGAGAATGTAGTGCTATTCACTCGTCTTTAAAATCCTCTACCAGTATGTGCTGTTGAGAACAAACATTTTAATCTGTAAAAAACAGCCATTCAAATCAAAATCCTTACATCCTTCTTCAAAGGATCAAAATCTTGGACTTTGATTGTTTTTTAAGTTTTTGTGAGTGACCCTCTTTACATATTTCTCAGTTTTGAATGGGGCACTTGTGCTAGTTACAGAATCGTATTTTAGTGGTCTGTAAAAAATAGTAAAATCTGTCCAATCGTCAAATTTCCAATATTCACAAATGTATTGCCCTCTGAAAAATATGGCATAGACATCATTTACTGCGATAGTACATATTGTGGATCCTTCCACTTCAGTTTCATCTGCGTTTTACATTGAGCAACCAGTGCAGATGTGCTTACCATTGATTAATGAAACCAAGTCAGAAGAAACCATAGCATGCACCACTGTGATGGATGTTTTTCAATGAGAGGTGTCTCTATTAATGTTGACAGTTGAAATTTGTTGTTCGGTCTGATAAATTATTTTTAACTAGCTAATCCATAAGCCTTAACCATCAAAACATGATTATGTGACTAGGGCAGTTGACTCATCATCCAAATTTGAGAGGAAAAGGAATTGGGCAGAATGGTACATAAAAATTTTCTAAAACGTCCAAGATAAGTTCATTCGTTTCACATACCTGACTTTCAGTCGTTACAGTATCTGGTAAAACTAGAAAAATAGGTTAGTTGAGGAGGCAGCTGAAAAAATAGCCTATGCATAAACCCTTCTTTGACAAGGATTCTAACCATGAGAATGCAAGAAAACTCATTCATTTTCTCAAAAACGCAACGAGTAATCAACAATTTCAAACTTTTAATGCATTTTTCTAAATAGAAGGTTTTTGCGTATGGGCTGTGTTTGCAGCCGTCTCCTCAATTTATGTGAAACGGGATCTATCAACACAGTACTATGCACACTTTTGTAATTTTGAAATCTCTTTTTCTTCTGAACTTATCCTCTGTGATTTTTCTCTTTTGTTTCAGTCATTATCAGAGGCTTTCATCAAATTTTTAGAGAATGAGTCTCAGCCGCAAAATGTCTTGAAGATGATCCCTGAAAATAAATCAAATGTAAGAATTTCTACTTCACTAGTCCATCAAAATAATTTTGCTCAACTTGCTTCATTGTAACATGGTATACATAAGTTAGTAAATAATTCTTACTAATCGAGAACAGAAATTACTCTGAGAATATTACTCAGATTCAATTAACCGTAAAGGAACCAAGTCACATTTCGGAAGAAAATAAAGTAGGAACAGTTTGAGCCAACTGGTCTTACACTTTCTCTTGTCAAAGATTCCAAGTTGATAAAAAAAAATTTAGAGGGTGAAATGACAGGGGTTAAAAGTCATCTTTAACATAGTGCCCTGAGGAAGGATAAAACTTGTAATCTCTTTTTCATGATAAGTACCTAGTGTGGCTTGGTTCCTTTCTTCTAAACTCACTCCATTTTAATATTACCCAAAAATTTCAGCACAAATTTTTGTTTGTTACTCTGCACCTTGAATTACAAAACCGTCTTCATCCTAATTATATGTAACTATATGTGCTTAGGGGTTATCCGTAAATTACGTTACGCAACCTTTCTGATTTTTTGACACCCACCCACCCCCTTGTGATACAAGCGTAACGCTGTTCCAGACACCCTTATAATAACAACTTGATATTTACCTCGACACCCACCCCCAACTTTCGCACAGGAAAAAACTGGAGAGAAATTTTCTCTCTGAAAACTGAGGCGTAGCCCATGTTAATGAAAGGCTCTGTATTTCAAGGGACAAGAAAGAACAAGACAAAAATACTTGGGACATGTGACTTAAAAAGAAAAAAATAAGTGACAATTCAGTATGTATGTACTGCTACAACGTGATACTGAGCTTGACACCCTCCCACCCCTTGTCACTCTCAGCCACAAAATTATGACAACCTACTCACTCTCTGGAGCATTACGTAATTCGACAGTGTAAGTCGGCAATCACATAACTCGGTTTGCAACGTCGCAGACTTCCTGTTATATTTTATTTTTTAAACAGAAAACCACTCAACGGCAATTCTTTAAAACTGCTGTGATTCTCTGTGCGAAGAAAATTCTGCATAAACTTTAAGGAATGATGTTAATTTGTCCTCCTTTAAAAAAATAACATAGAGGCGGAGATTTTCAGACACCGCAAACGAGATATGTGATTGCAGACTTACGCCATCGAATAATGGACAGCCCCTGATTCATCCTTTTTGCTGTGTGGAGAAGAACCCTTCAAAAATTTTACTCCACAGTTTTGAGAAAGGATTCATTCATCCCATCCTTTCAATTTGCGACAATTCAAAATCCTGCACTCCTCAAAATCTCTTGTTCAAAGCTGACGCTTGGTTAGCTCGTGTGTGTGCACGAATCGGCCTCTGATCAAAATAACTGTTTCAACGGAGGATTGAACGTCTGTTTTGTATCATCTTTCCATTTGATGCTTCAATGAAAACAATTTACCAATTTATTTATCTACGCTCAGTTTCATCTGCCTAACATCCATCTTAGTCTTGAAATTTTAAATCCTTAATCCTATCGTAACCTCTATTTTTCAGACAAATGTGACGGCTCACCGTCGTTCTCCATCAGGATCAGTGTTACTGTCAGAAGCCTCTCTGCCAAACATTCCACAATTTCCTGTTAATAGAAACTCAGGGTCCATACTCAAAGATGTTATGAAAAATGACAGATAATATATTTGTATTCATCGTTAGGTAAATTTATGTAATTATCATCCACTCCTTTGATTGTTACTTGTAAAATACTATTTATTTAGTTACATCTGTAAGTTTAGAATGGTGCAATTGTGAAGTAATAACTAATTTTGTTAAATGCTATGTGTTTTTAAAACTATTACTGTGGCATTAAAATTAATCTTTTTTACAAAAATTTTCTCTTGTTTTTCACTTCCTGAGTTTTTTATTTCAATAGTTGATGTCCATTAAATTTTAATGTACTGGGAGTCCGAATACCTGAGTTGGAAATTATCAAACTGGATTTGCAAATGTAGTTAGAGTAATATGGTAGGAGATCAACCAATTGATAATTTTTAAATCATACGACGTTCTCTAAAAATCAATCCTTGCCGAATAAAAATTTGAATACAAATTTACTCTCAGAAAATACTTATTTATAAAGAAAGTTATGAAAATGCTTCATTTAAATTTTTAGACACTTTCGATCAAATTACAAGAAAAATTCTCTGATAATTAGGAAGAAAAATACCCACAATTTTTCTCTCAAATTTGTGATTAATCCAAGGAAGTTTGGCAACGGCTGAAGGCTCATACCGTGTTTTTTCTTATCATGGCAGAATACTACGCATTTCGTTGTTCCTTTGATGTAAGGGCGTATCTAAATTTCTACATGAGCCATGAGGAGCATAAAAACACATGGAGAATAGGACTCTTGTGGAAATCGAGACACGTCCGATGATATCTAGAAGAGAGTAAGCTTTCCTATAAATCTTTCATATTTCTAAAAACACTGGAACATCCTATGGGAAACTTGTACAGATATTCAAAAGTATAAAAACAATTTATTTATTATTTGGGGGTGGATCAATAGATGTCGCAATGAAGTGCGAAATCAGGATTTAAGTTTACTTAAAGTCTGATAATTTTTAAGGAATTCTGGCGTTTTGACTCTTTGCACTCAAATGTCAACTACCAGTCAACCGAGTGCTTCATGGGCTTTGTTCATGTTGACCTTCAGCTGACCGAAAACTCGGCTCTCAAGTGGTAAAATGAGGTACTGCACTCTCCAGGGATGTTCATCAACTATCAGAGATACTTGACAGAATTTTGACTGCCAAAGATTGCTGGTAGCTCGTTCTTATGCCAGTATGATTCTGCACTTGAGTGCGATGAAATTGATTCACCAGCTCAACTATATTCGGAGAGCCAGGCAATAGTTAATGGGAAACTCGTGACACAAGTTATGACCACTTAAATCGATACTTACACGTACTGACACAGAATATGGTTGTCTGCAACGTTGAAGTGTGCCATTTTTTGGCAGACAACCATTTTCGCATCAGTGCAGATTAAAGTGCTCAAAACTAGTGTCACGATTTTGTAACTAAATATCGTCGGGCTCTAGGACTACTATACTCATGTAAGGGCATATCGACGGTGAAACTACCAAACCACGTATCTCGTTTGCGGTGTTTAAAAATCTCCGCTCACATTTTATTTTTTTGAAGTAGACAAAATCAATATCATTCCTTGAAATTTTCACAGAATTTTCTCCGCACGAAGAGGAAAAATCACGGAAATTTTCAAGACTGGACGTTAAGTAGCTTTTCGTTTAAAAAATAAAGTATGACAGGAAGTCTGCGACGTCGCAAACCGAGATACGTGGTTTGGTAGTTTCACCGTCGATATGCCCATGTATTTAAATAGAGTGCAGGAAGGGTAATCCTAAAAAAGAATTTTGAGGGCAAAGGGTCAAGCTAAAAATTGAATTACGTTTGCTCTTAATCATCTTGAAAACCTGTTCTGTGAAAATCTGTTGTGAAAGTTTTTGATAGACCTTGCATAAAAATCAAAATTTCGCATTCTTTTTCAAAATAAAAGTTCTTCAACTATATTTCTTACAAGAAATACAAACATTAACAGTAAATAACTATATGTACACTTTACAAATTTTCTAGGAAAAAAATAAATGTAACAATATTAAACAATTCTTAATGAAGATTAAAAGAAGTACAAATCTGAGGAAATTCTTGTACTAACTTAAGAGACCGTCGTTTCTTCGAAAAATAAGAGAAAGAAAAAAACATAGAGGTGAGAATAGATTGAACAGTGAATTTCAACGACCAAGTCTAATATTTTTTGTTGGCAGTTTCTCTCTGCGCTCAAGACTACATTGATATGTGATACTTGGCATGAAATTTTTTATTTAGCCGCTCAATGTATTGATCAAAAAAGGTTAGTGCAGGTAACAAAGGTTGAACTAAGAGTTAATCATGATGAAGTTCAATTATGCGCTCATGGATCTTCAACCCCCCCCCCCCCTATTTTTTTAACATCACATGCATTAAGAGAACAGCTGCTCTTTATTAAAAAACCAAATTCTTCGATAAAAATTCTTAGTGCAGCAAGTGAACTGTTACAGCTTTTTTGTAAAAGGTTCATTTTTTGGTTAAGAACTAAATTTTGTTAAAATGAGCGCTATATTTGTTGATTCTTTTACCACTGTATGCAAAAAAGATGGAAAGGATTGGTTAGATTGAACATTTAAAAATTGAGAGGACACCAAATCTTAATTTTCTCATAACCAACTCACCAGTCTACACTTAAACTCCTTTGAATTTGAAACAGTAAGAAGAAAGGAGAGAAAATAGACGTGACTGAATAGCAAAAGGAGAAACTAAAATTTCTAACCCTTCAGTTTTATGCTACCAGTTTTGATAGATTCATAATTTGTATCATACTCCACATTCAATCTATCTCACTTTAATTATCAGTATCTTTGATATCTAGCGATGGAAATTCCTGAATAGTAATAGATTCTGAGAACCTCATTCTCCATACTGGTGTTGAACAAGAGTGAAATTAAGTGCCTTGAAATTTTTTGTTAGACTTTCAAATGTTCAACATTTGTGAGCTCAAAAATTGAAAAGTAAAAACAAGTAGAAAAAAAAAAATTGATTGATTTGCCGATTTAATATTAATAAAATATTCCTCAATTTCATTATCTTAAAATATGTGCTTCCTTCATGCTGGAATAATATGGATTGAAAATAAAAGCTATACTTTTTTTTTGGACCAAGAAAGGAACAATGACCAAGCTGCAAGGAGATTTAAAAAAGTTGGAAGTAAGAGCAGTTTCTGGAATAGGGAATGGCAGTCCCTTAAACTTATAGAACTAAGGTAGGTACATCAGACTTTCAGTAACAATTGAAAAGTGTTCATCGAAATTTCAAACTAAGAAATCTTCCTATTTCTTAACTCCTCCACCCATAAGGCAATCGGTAACCAGTTTTTGGATCCTAATTTTTTGGGAGTGAAAATACGGTTACTAGTATTATGCCTCGTTTTTAAGCCCAATTTACACTATCAAACTTTTCATCCATCTCTTGGATGCAATTTGTCGAATGAAAAGTTGGATAGTGTGATCCTAATGAGAGAAAACGACGATTTGATGAAAAATTGAACGGAAACTTGAATGTGACGTCACATTAAACTTTTCGTTCAACCTTCCATCCAATTGGCTGCGCCAATTGAATGGAAAGTTGAACAAAAAGTTGGAATGAAATCTTCCGACCGACATGAGCTGAAACTGTATCTTCACAAACAGCAGACTGATGACGACATCACACTTCAACGGTAATTAAATAGAATTTTTTGGCGTCTGACTTTCCATCCAACTTTTCCTTCGGTTATGTCGGTTGAGAAGTTTGATATTGTGAATTGGACTTTACCGCACTCTTCATTACACATGCTAAAACTCAACTTAATTCAGAGGGATCCTCTTGATTGGCAGCTTGTAAGATGTGAGCCATAAAGTCATGGCACTCCATGACAAGCGATACTGAACACATATAACTCTTCATAGTCCAATATGAATCATCCTTCACAGCATCCCTGAACTTTTGCGTAACTTTGAATAAAATACGACCGACTTGATACACCGATATTGCAAAAAGTACTGACAGATACTCATGCCCTGGTTTGTGTCTGTAGTGGAATAGGGTTAAAAGGAGCTGATTTTCTTCACTAAGAAATCTATGTGTAATAATTCGACGATCTGAAAAAAGAAAACCATGTAAGAGGGAGAATTTGAGCTTATTGATGCCGGTAAAGAAGATTAACTTTGTGTCCGTCAATTGTTCATACGACATTAATGGCTCCCACATTAAGGCACTAACTGTCTCAGTCTGGCTTTGTTGATCACTTGTTTCTACAGGCTTAGCAGATTTTCTGACAATGAACGGTTTAGGTTGTTCAAATGCATCAAATGAAAATCCTTTCAATTCGACTTTTCCTTGATTTAATCGAGACAAAATAAGGCTTGCACCGAGAGTTTCACCTTTACAAATTCCACTCATGCTGCCTTCATTTGAATTTTCCTGCCTATTTTCTGATCCATCTTCAAACTCACCCAGACTGTGCGTGGTGTTGTTTTTTTCACTTCCACTTTCCTCAAGCTCAAGGTTGCATGTTTCAGATTCATTTTGACTTTCCATCATAAAAAAGTCATCAATTGCACTATTGTTGTCACTATAATCATCTGTGTCCATCTTGTTATTGTATTCGATGTCATCTTCAGTTTTTACAAGACTCAAATCTGATTCATTGACATACGTTGAGTTCATACCATTTTCAGAGTGTACTAAGTTTGAGACACACTTGCCTTCAGAGTGATTTTTCAAGACTTCATCGTTCGTTCCCCCCAACAAAATCTTAGTTTCCTTCTTTTCACCTCTTTTGTTAACAGGAACATTGCTAGAAGAAATAAGTGCATTTCTAAGTTCAGCTCTGGGTTCACTTCTAGGCAAAGAGTCAGGGGAAATTTCTCTTTTACTGTTATCAGTATTCATCGCTTCTGACTGGTCTTCAGTATCCGATTCTATTTCAGTTTTAATCATGATTGAAACATCAAGTGAATCAATTTCTTCCGTTCTGTCCTTGGAGAAGTCGGCTGTGATTTCTTTTGAAATTCTGCCTTCATTTGTTGTGTCCATTATACTTTCATCTTCACTTTCAAGCTCAATTTTGATTTGAGGCTGAGTCGATGACGCAGTGGCTCTTAGATCATTGAAACTTGGGCTTTCAAAAGCATGAACCATATACTCATTTCCAGTCCTTGGCTCACTTTGTGTGTGTATTGCACTGCCTCTTGGGGGTTTTTTTCCTGTAGAAATATCACAAGAGCTGTTACCTGATTCTGAAAAATTGAGTTCATTTTCATCCAAAATTTCCTCTTTGATTCTGACAACTGCATCAATGCTTTCATTTGGTTTTTGTACTTTTTCGCTTGGAACGGTTTCTTCAGGGACCATCTCCTCCTTTACGCAATCAATCAATGGATTCGTTGCATCTCTTCCTATTTCCAAAGTGTCTTCTGATGGCATCTCCAAAAGAAGCCTTTCATCACTATAATTTTCACAGTTTTCTGAAACATTAAGAATAAAATGTGAGACGGATCTCTTTGGGATTGATTAGCATGCGTTTGATATTGCTATGCTATTTTTCTGATTCTGTAATTTAAATGTTGCCATGAAGATTCATCCCCAAAAAAATTTCATCATAATACAATGTATCTTATTTCATCTCCGTCTCAGCCACATCTTTCGACTCTTTCAAAAGAAACAGAATGCACCACTAGACAAGACACGAATCTAAGCATTCTGATACATGTTTCCATTTCAAAAATTTTTGGGGACATGATTCAAGCTACGAAATTCTCTGAAATTAATTCTTTAACCCACATATTAATTTTTTCTTCTTCTTTTTTTTAAACATTGGTTTATATTTTACCTTTACTGAAGATCATTAAAATGAAGCTGTCACCATTAGTATTTTGAATAAAAAAATGATTTCAAATTGATAAAAACCTACCCTAGTAGCCTAAAATTTTTTTCAAAAACTCTGGAAAAAGTGTTCAGATATTCGTATTGGGAAAATCTTTTAGGCTATTTTTTAAGTAAAATTTACAATAAGTAAAAATTAAGAAAAAAGTGTTAAAATTTTTTTTGAAAAATTACTGTAGTTTTTTAAACATTTTTAGTGTAAAAAAACTAGGTGCAGTTGATATTTTAAGAGTTTTTTTAACACTTTTATTTAAATTTCACCGCTCGTTAATTTTACTTAAAAAAATAGCCAAAAAGGGTTTCCTAATAAGAGCATTTTAACAGGTTTTTTCAGAGTTGTCTATTCGAAAAGCAGGAGTTTTTCAAAAGTTTTTTTAACGGTTGATGCTACTAGGTAATAATATAAAACGAAAAATCAGTTCTGACCTGCTTTTACCAAAGATATTACCTTTTAAATAAAGTCTTGAGTGAGGATAAATGGAAGATTACCGACATTACGGTAAAGTTATTAGATCTAGGAGGTCCAGCAGTATGATTCCTGGGAAAAATCTAAATTAAGTATTTATCTTTCTTTTGTATCTTTGCTGGTGAAAAATTATGGGACAATACTTACCATCGTCTGATGCTGGTTCACTTTTGAAATAAATGACCGTGGTAGGTTTTGGAGGTGAAAAATATTCATCTTCAACAGGATCTGAAAGACAAAAATAAACGTGATATAAAAGTGAAATGCGATACGAAGACTTGTATATTGCTGACTTGCAGTTCATGAAGAGAGAGAAACTGACCAAACCACTTGGGTTTGGTTGATAGTAATGTTCCATAAGGCCAAAATTCATAGGTGAACATAATATCACAAGCAGAGAAACAATTTTGCAGCTAGCGCAATCTGACATCTTGCTTGAAGGTTGATTTATGCTGCGGATACAGATCCTTGTAAAAAATCTTGATTTTCTCGCTAACCATTTGATCAAAACTGCAGAAGTGCGTATTTAGGTTGCAGTGTTTGAAAATCTTTGTTCCTATTTTATTTTTTAAAAGGTGACTGAGCCCCAGCATCAAGGCTTAAAGTTGTCACAGAATTTTCCTCACATGGAGGAAAAAATCACAAAAGTTTTCAAGAAATGACGATGAGTAGTCTCTCAGGTAGAGAATGAAGTATGACAGGAGGTCTGCAATGCTGCAAACCGAGATGCATATTTCCGCTATTGCATCATCCGTAAACCAAACTGATGCTGAGCTTAATAAGATTAGAATAAATTCAGCACTTCTACCTTCAGAACTCTCCGTTTTGGAGGAAAATTGGGGAACTTATAGGATGCAATCTACTGGTGCAGATAGAGGTGGGCCTGATGCAAAAGGTGGTGTCAGCAGCTTTAATTTTACTAGCAAACCAGAGCTCAGGCTCGTTTTTAATCTGAAATCATGCGATATCTGCACCTTAAGAACCCTCATGTGATCTTTATAAGAAGAAAACCTTAATTAAGTAATAATTACCATCAGAATTTTCAATTTGCATTGACAAATCAGCGTAGGGATAGGGTTTAAAATTTCCATTGTTCATAGAATTATTGTGAAAACCATTTGGTAGCACACCGCTCAGAAGGAATGATCCAGCTTCTAACACAGCCTCCATTCCAGAGAGAGAAACTGTTGCATTTGGAGTCTGCCTTTCTCGGTGCTGGAGCTTTGGGTGACAATTTGCAGGTGTAGTTGCCGTTCCCGTAAATGCTGAAACTTCAGATATGTCAACATGGTCATTTGTTGGCCCTTTCGCTTTATCTTCATGTGGTTTCGGGATTTGTACATTATTCTTGATTTTGCCTCCTAATGATGAAATGCAGCGATCAGAATTTTTAAATGTCTCATCATTCATGTGGGAAAAGGGCTCTCTGCTATCTTCAGTTTCGTGCGGAGGTGATGGTGAATTTGCTGGTGAAGTTTGTATCCCTATACTTACTTTATTTATTGGTGTATAAATGTGATCAAAACTCAGTTTACCTTTAAGCTTTTCAGTTTCCAATGCCCCTCCAGGGTCAACCCTCCTTGCCCAATCCGAAAATGCACTTCTTTGAGTCTTTCTGTCGGCTATTTCTCTAGCCTCTGTTAGTGAAGATTTGCTCAGGAGCCTGTTTAGGACTGGGTCTTCGTTCATCATTGTCTTGGTAAATTCATTGAAACTTTGAGATGAGACCTCTGTGTTTGCTGCACCAACAAAAAGTTTGCTGTAATGTCCACTTGTTGGTCTGGAGATATCCTCAAAAATTTTAAAAGTTCCTGGTAACACTTTTCCTCTATACTGACGCTTGGCAACAGTCTTTTTCGACTTTATGCTGTTGTTAGCAGTAGTTTGCATACCTCTTGGTTGATGGGGATTTGTTGAATCAAACACCTTATCAAACTTTCGAGGTATACTTAGAAGTGGATTATTCAGCCCTGAGGCCCAACGTTGTTGGTTTAAGTCGTTGACAGTGGATGCAGAGGAGCTTTCAGTATCCTTGGATGGAGGGCGTAGTGAAGTATTCCTTGGATCTGGTGTAACATTATCAAGTAAATTCTTCTGAGAGGTTGCACTGTTGTCTTTGCACTGTCCTAGTGAGTTATCTGATGGACGGACTCTCGTGAACATCCTACATCTGGCAGCAGATGATGAATTTCTTGATTCTTTTGTCAATTTGATGGTGTTTTTAGCCTGTTCAGGCTTCTTCTTTGGAAAACAGCGCAGAGAAGAAGGCTCTGAGGGAACTAAAGAAGAATGTCGTATATCTAACAAATTGATTTTCGGAGCAGTAGAAATGATTGGTGGTTCCCAAGTCATTACGGTATGTACTATATCGATAGGAGTGTTTTGGCATGGTTTTCTTCTTGACAAACTGGGTTCTGCAAGTTTATTTGTAGGTAAAGGAGTCTTGTTGGAATTTTTCTTACTCTGCACAGGAGAGATGGGCGGACACTCTTCCCATTTAAGTCCTTCAAGTTGGTCAGCATCTAGAGAATCCTTTTCCGGTAGACTTGCGTCGGGAGGTGGCTCATTAGCTTTGCTTAAATCGATTACCATTGGCTCATTGTCACTGAAGATAGTTTTCCGCTTTCCTTTACTTCGAGGCTCTCGTGCTTTTGAAACTACTAACATCGAATTTTTCGAACGTTTTGGATCGGTGACTGCGGTGAGGTGTTTGTGTTGGAAGCGAGTCTTTTTCGAGAAAATGTTGAGCATTTTCAGAAATTCGGTGGAAATTTCATTAACATTGTTCTTGCGTCTTGCCTTTGGTCGAATAGGAAGATTGGAGAGAAGATCAGCAGTTGACTGAGTCACAGACTTTGCAGACATTGCAAAAATCGCGTTAGATGAATGAGGGTCACCTCATTCAAAACAAAATACAACGAAAATTATAACATTTGAATGATTTGACTTCAACACCCTCCATGACCCCCCAAAGTTCGTTTACAATTACTAAAGTTCCGATTAAAACTTCCACAACAATAACAAACAAAACCTCATGGATATGGTTTTTGCGTTTGGCCAGTTTGGCCCAGATATTCCAGACCAAATTCTCATCAAAGATCAAAATCTGTCATCGGTGTCAAACTCGCTCCTAATGTAAACAAACAAACGGCGACATAGTCCGGACATGAGGGCTACTATGGAACGTCGTTTGGGACTTTACTAAANTGGTCGAGATGTTCCGGACTCATTTCTTCATTTACGTTTCTTTTCTTCATCTCGACCAAAGAAGTTTCCTGCGCGTCTAAAGCAACATTTTCCGGTTCCATTGTTAGAGAAGAAACAAGTCATTTTGTAGTAAGTTAGGATAATATTTGTGTTGATTGAGTGGCATGAGCATTGGACTACCTGGCACCTGGCTGCGCCTTGCCATGAGCATTGGACTACCACTACCTGGCTGCGCCTTGCATGGTAGCCTCTATCTCAAGATGATGGGGCGAAAAACTTATTGGTTGATGTGCAAATCTGAATCCTAAATCTCTAGTAACGGTAGTTGTGAAAACCAGATGGATGTACAATGATAGGTACCTTGCTCCTCACTTACTTTCTTATGGATGTTCTCTGGTCTCTCCAAGGTTCTGGTTTTGCGCTGCGTTGAAGCCAATGCTTCAAGTGTAGCTATAACAACCAGACTTCGGAGATACCAATTAACAATCCTAGCAGTCACCAAATTCTCCAGCAAACCCGCATAGTTGTCTATTAGCAGCTGAAGAAGCTATGGAAACCGTATTTAACTATTACAACAAAATTTTTTCCATCGGAACTCTGACAGTAAGTATGAGGGGGAACTATCACCTTTAAGGCATGTTTCTCCATGAATTTTCTTGTTGTTTGGCATTAAACTAAGTAGAACTCAAGGAAAATGAAGCAAGACTTTACATATAACCATGTGAGGTTCATCTGCTAAAAAAATAGAATAAGGTCTAAAATTCCTAATGAACATCACCAAGATGGTTCTGCCACCAGCAGCTCATTTTTTAAGGCACGGATCAAATACTGTGGTTATCTATTATTCTCACGGTGCCCATCAAATTATAGGTAAGAAACCTTGTCCTGTAATAATAATGGCATGGAATGGTGGGCTCTAATTGGTAACTTGACCATCCCCAATAAGTTATCGAAAGAATTTACTTCTTAAAAGATCCTCTGTGAATAAAGCCAAGTAAATATGCAGATAAAAGTCCCGTGTGATGTGTGAAGTGTATTCAAAGGGAAGGGATGAAATGTTCAAAAGGTAACGTCCAAACTTGCAAAGTTGTAGAGGCTCTAGGCACAAATTGGACAAGGTGCCGCTAAGAAATGACTAAATGAATTTTTTATTGTTATTAATTACCAAGGTTAATTACGGAAAAGAGAAGAAGAGAATCAGGCCGAATGCCATTTGAAAAGTGTAAGTGGCAAGTGGGGCTGGGGCTGGCAAGGTGGGCTGGGGGTGGTGTAGGAGCCGAACCATCTTCGAGATCACGGGCGGCGAGCGGCAACCTCATTGGCTACGAAGATTGCCGAGCACGGCCGAAGGCCTACTCGCCGCTTGGTAGGTGTTGACGGCGGTTTGACAAACAGCAGTTTTTGGTGAAATGTGGTCCGGAATATCTGGGCCAATCTGTTCACTCCATGGATATTGAGGTTGAGGTTATGGTCAACGATGGCATCGGACTTCATCTTTTGGCGGTATTATTTTGTCCAGTTTAAAATGACACATTTTAAAGGACATCTTACACTTTTTCCTCCACCTTTGAATAAAATAATATTCTCTAAACGTAGAAGAACATAATTCCTGAATATAATTCTCTAATGATAATACGGATGTATTAATCATGCGGATGAACTTGAAGAGATGAATAACCTTCTCTCTGCAATATCATCTAGATTGGTATTACCTAGTGAATTAGAAAAACTGCAATATGTACTTACCTATTTGGATATAACAACATGATCTAACAAGACCATATTTTCCTCAGTTACATCGATTTTCTCAAAAGGTAAAGGCAGCACTTACAATCAGTTATAAATATACATATGTATAAATGAAATTATTCCATTGAATCTATTGACGGTGAAACTGCAGGAGTGCATAGGTACCTACCTCTCAGTTCAGTTTGCCTGTTACAGACTTCCGTCATACTTTTTTGTAAGAAGGTAATTTCTTAGCAACTGCCCTGATTGGTCTTCTTTGTGTGAAGAATATTCAATGAGAATTTCAAGTGATGGCGTTGGTTTTTTCTCCTTGGTCAAAATGAAAATGGAGCAAAGATTGTGAAACACTGTAAACAAGACACTGTTTCACCATCAAATGTGATGGAGCTTAGGGAGGTGCCTATTTTAAGCAGGATGTTTCAAAATCCCCAACTTCGTTTAATTTTTAATTTATATGTTTTCCTACATAATAATAGACTGGCTTATATTTTTAATTTAAAAATCACAGATCTCTTCAATCTTCTGTACTACATTACCTACCAGTTATGAAAGTAAAATATGAATTTTTCCACCACACGATGAAACTTTTTAGTTGAAAGATTAACTGTAGAGTTTTACAGAGCCTTTTTCAGTTTTTGACACCGTAGCTCTAGTTCTGAATTCAAGAGCTTCTTAGATTTCAGGTTTTTTCAAGCAATGAATATAATTAATTTTCACTAAAAGAAAATTGTGTAAAACATAACTGAATTTTGCACGTAATCAACTGAGTGGAATCTCCAAAAGAAATGAATTGATGTGGCTTATTGATTGAGAGGTTTTTTATTAAGATTTTCTTACTTACTGATGCCTCAGGTAAGAATATTCTCTTGTTTCTTCTTCTTTTTTTTGCTGCAAGTAACAAAATACATGTCACTCAAGCATTATGATCATATCAAGAGAGAAGTCAGCAAAAAAATATTAATATACTAAAGTAAGTATCTAGGTATTACATGAAAAAAGAGAATATTAGAGGCAAATTTTTGATAGCAGTAACCAATTCACAGTGTCTGACATTTTATGGCTGAGAAACAGAGGAAGATATACAAAACTGGATATTGTAAACAATTCTTTATATTCAACATTATATAATTTACAAAATAAAAAATAAGTTCGAGCAACGTACTAAATACCCATTGGAATATACAAAATAAGAATAATAGAAACTAATTAAAATATAAAAGAATAATCTAACAGTCAAATTTCCAAGTGACCAGAAATGTTCCTCTTCGCCAATAAATGTGTAAAAAAAAACTAAGTATTGGTAAATTAGGTAAAAACAAGTTGTTGGAGTATATTCACTCTTTAGGTCTGTAAGGAGAATCTTTTAGCACTTAGGTTGAAATTATAAATACCACAAATAAATCAGTAAAAACGAAACCACACCAACTCAGTAACTTGAAAATGCTCAATTTTCATTCAAGACAGTCAATTTTCTAAAAGTCATTGAAGGAAGCACATCTGTTCCAACAGATGCCCAAAGATGCCTTTAAAGTGTCCTTAAGTACTCGTCTTTCAACACCAAAAATCTTTTTCTTAGACTAACTTCTTCACCTACTGTACAGTTTTGTGTGTCTTGATTATTTTCATTTTTTCTAGTTGGTGCATTTTCGTTCTCACTGATTTAAATAACCTCCAAACATATTTTTGTAAATTGGAGGTAGGATGTTTTGAGTTTTGAAAATTACAGAATGGGAAAAAAAGTATGAGTTTTCTTCTTGAATTCGACGAAAATAACACTTAGGGACATTCTTTATAGATTCTGAAATCAGAGCCAATTCCTTTCACTCTTTCTGTATTCGTCTTACAATAGAGGTAAATCAGGGGCAAAATTCAGAGGGTAACTGCTTTCCGACTTATTCCTGAATATTGTGGTTCAAGATTCCGGCAGTTCAGTTTGATAAAAGATTATGGCGAAAAGATTTTCCTTATTTTCACAGTTCGGAATTGAATTACTCAAAATCTCATAAATGTTTACTTTGCTCTTAATGAGATATGATAATTGTAGAGGGTACTTTAATACTTCCAAAGAATTCTGTATCACTTATTTTTATTTTAAAATAAGATTTAACCTCCTCTGAAAATCTTACAACATGAGAATAATAACACGTAACTTAACTGAACCCAGAGTTTTGACTTTAGTATGAAGTTTGACACCTAAAGGTATAGTTAAAGGTCGCCTTATACCTACATCCAAATGCCTGACAATTTACTTCATATTTAAAAAAAACGAATTTCCATGTAGATAAAAGTGATGAGGGACACTACTCCCCTTATCAGGGTGTAAGAAGTTTTGGTACTTCAAAATCCCAAACGCTATTTTTTCTGACATTTCTTCTTGGGAACATTGTAAAATCAGAAGTTCATGAAGAATATTCAGTAAAAATCTCAGTGAGATGCATGCCTTCACTTTCCGTAGGAATAAAATATTTGCAGAGATTCTGAAGCACCATAACCTATAACTGCCCTTCTCTCACCCAGTGCTTCAATTTCAACAATTTTGCAGCAAACATGGAAAGTAAAAAATTACAACTGATGAATATGAAATAACAATATAGAAAAAAAAGATAATGAAATAAAAAAAAAAATTGGCACCTAAAGTATGATAAGATCCGAATCCCCAAAGTTAAAAAAGAATTAATCCAAACAACTTGTGATTCCTCCATTTTAATGAGACTTCAAATCATTCCTGAACTCAAACTTATACAGCTCATTACATTGATTGAAAGCACAAGCTTTAAACAGGATATTGACAGTGAAACTCCCAAACAACGTACCTCAGTTTGCAACAATGGAGTATTCTTTTAATGTAAAACCACACAACATCAACTCTTGAAACCTTCAGTGATTTTCCTTCTCTCTGAGAGAAACAGTTTATGAAAATTTCAAGAAATCATGTAGAGTCGTTCTATTTTAAAATGTAAAAAGGGAGCGGAGATTTTGAAACACCCCAGACGTGATACATGGTTTGAAAGTTTCACTGTCGATATCTGGCGAGTTAAAAATCGGGAATGCAAATCCAGCAACAAATTCAAGCATGTCTTAACAAAGATAATAGTTCATTGGGACCATCAAAATCAGTATTTTCCAAATTACAGAACAATTCATTCAGTGGCATTCAGTGCCGGTGATTTTTTTTTCTTTTTCTCAAATCAATTTTGAGTGAAACAAGTAAATAAAGAGAATAAGTGAGTTCTTCAATATGATCTTACAGGTAAAAATCCGGCAGCTCTGCTAGATCGGCGATGTAGATCAACCGGCCATTTTATTCTCAGCATAAAAACAAAGAGAAGTTTTTCAAAAGAAGAAATCTTTTAATAACAACAACAGCATCATATTAACTTCCAACTCAAAGCTTGTATTGAGGGGGACATGTGCTTGGAGGGGGACAGCAGACTGATTGTTTAAATTGATGATGGATGAGGCAACAGACAAAGAAGACAAAGAGAAAATGAAGCGATTCTTTTGGTAGAAACAGGTGGTTTCAATGGACAAAAGAGGTAAGTAACAGACTAACCAATGGCAATCCACAAGAGACCCTGCAGAGAGTCCATCACTTCCCCCTTAGTCTATATCAACTACCTGCTTCAACCTAAAGGACCTCTCCATTTTCCCCATGTCCTATTCGTCTATTGCTTTGTCTATCAATTTTAATAATCAGACGGCAAAAGTCTGAGTCTGCTCAAGAAGGAGGAATGAGGCTAAGGCCGAGAAAAAAAAAAAAAAATTAATGAAACCATTTTGGGGGTAACGCTTCTGGATCACACTCTGTAAAAAAAAAAAAAAAACTGATGTACAGAGAGAGAGAGAGAGGAGGTTTCTATCGAAGTACTTCATAATTTATGGCAAGCAAGGGTGTTGATCTGTTTTACAGATAGTGTGCATGGGAGAAAGGGCGTTAAATAAAAAAAAACGGAAAAATTATTGTTCCTTACAATTTGACCCTTTACAATTCACATCTAGTCTGGAAATATTAGAAAGTATCAGGTTTCAATATGATACTCATATATATTGATGGTCAAACTATGAGCCTACAGCCAACTCAGTTGGTGACTGCGGTTGTATTGGTGTCAAATTTCTATCACATTTTACATTTTTGAAGGATTTTCTCGGTATTGCACAAGATTCTTTGTGCAATTCCTCCCTACTCTTTCTGTATTATTCTCCGTAAAGTTTGTTGAAAAATACATGATATCTTTTCTTACAAAAAAATAAAACTAGGGCAAATTTAGGAATACCGCAATTGGGTTATGTATTTTTATGATTTTACCATGCATAGGCATTTTTTCAAAGAAAAAACTTCACAAAATGAAAAACCCAATATAGTGAAAATTAAAACACTACAAGATATTTTTTCCCATCAAAATTTCAAGAAGAACACATGGATCATGTTTAAAAATTTTGAAATCCTCTTGTGAATGAGAAATTAGTGTTTACAGTATAGTTTACATCAGTATAATCAAAATCAAATTTTCCGCTTGCCAAAAAATCAAAATCAACAAGGATCAAATTCACCATTACAAACAAAATAACAATCGAAAAAAAATAACTGGGGTGTTTTACAAAATTTTCCCTCCTCCTTTTGATACTTGATCCTCTTAGGATTATAGAGAAAATTCAGCACACTAAAAAAATTATTTTATCCTAGGGCAAACTGAAATTAATTTCATAAAAACTTTTGTTTAAATAGAATTTGGTTTTTTTGGGCGCGTCAGAAGTTTGAATCGGCAGATATAGGGACGGTAGTTATGAGTGACTGACTCCCACACTGAATTTGGAAACTGTCAACATGACCATCGAATTCTGGGCGAAATTTTGATAGGAATCCATACACTGAGGGGCTGAAGTTCTTACTCTCTTTCGCCTGTTGATGAAGAATGGTAGAGATGAAGAAATTGTAGGTCCAACTTTAGGTCATAAAAATTACGAAGAATAAAAAGAAAAATATTAGAACAGCAAAAATCTTTATCATGAGCCAGCGATTAGAACTGACCGACTGAAAGTATCGCAGGATTTCATGATGAGCTGCATCTACATTTAGAGTTGCATCCGTAACATTGGAGTCAATCCTGAAAACAGAGAGGAATCATCTTGTTAAACATTTCTGAGGAAGTTTGTATTGATGAACACAAAACTTTAGTTTGAAACTCAGATAAATGAACTAGGATAAGTTTAAAATTTCCTTACATCTATCGTAATCCACCTAAAATTATGACTGAGAAACAATTGAATACATGAGAATGAAAGCACATCAACTCTGCAAAATAAAGTCACTTCTGCACTCAGTCTCAGAGGATGTAAGTGGCTGATAAAATGAATGTAAACAAACGAGTTAGATCATGCAGTTCAATTAAGTCTCAAAAAAACAAAGAGTTAGGTAAACTTTTTACCTCTCAACCATTTCTTCTTGCTCTTTAACCATGACTGCAAGCTGCTGGAAAATTCCTCCTAGTTCAACGATTGTTGATTCAATATTCTGCATCGTCTCAGCCCTGCTTTGAAGATATTGATCCTAGAAAGTTACAAAAAAAAAATTAGGCTCAATCTCTAAAAACGTGAATGGATTACATGTTCAGACAATAACTCAATCTAATTGTTGACGGACAGTCATGAAATGGACAAGCAACATTTCATAGCGCTTCCAATTTGAGGGCAGCTAAATTCACAAAAATTATGATTTTGGTTTCTAAGCTCAGCAGACAGCTCCAAGTAAGCTACTTTTTTATTTCTATTAAAAGAAGTTCAAGATATTCTGTGAAAATTGATGTGGATAAGAATATATTGTACTTGCAAATTCTCTAAAGTACATAGAGAATAATTGCACAATAGAAAACTTCAAATATCTCTGAAAGAACTTTCACGAGTAAAGGAATACCATGTATCTATGCCAGTAAAATTTAAAAGTTATTCTGACAGGTGATAAAATTCTACAAAATTTGACGGAAGATTCAGACTATGGAGGCCCGTAGTTACAAATACTTGCAGAGAAAGTTTAATTTGAAGCACAAGAGGAGGCTCTAGATATTAGCTGTCCAGATTAAAAACTCGTTGAGTGAATAGGAAAATGTATGCAATTTTTTGAGGACCAAAGGATAATGTATATAATTTTTTGAGGACCATAGCCGATTTTTTAGGAGCATTTTAACAATGCCACCTGAAGGTTTGGAACACTGCCAAAAGATTTTGAATCTAAGACTAGCCTAGGTCACAAGATCAAACCGTACCATCAATGTATCAGATGTTGCAATTGGTTCAAGACATCGAATAAGTCAATCACAACATCTAACCTTGATACATGAATCGTTTGACCCAGCCTAGCCAGAGATGCAGGGACGCTTTCGTACCATTCAACCTTGTGAACTGATGTTGGTAATTTTTGTTACCTTGTTTGTTCTTTTTTAGAACTTACTCTGACTTGGTGGCTATTTGGGAATTTCCCAGAAATTCATGCGTCTAAGCTCCACTTCCATTTAAAGTGATTCAAAGTGATCAGGGAGCACGATTCACTAATATGTAATGATGCTACATAGTCTATGTCTTGCAAGCAGTATATCGTAATGTACAAATGGAGAATTTGCATGCAACATTTTATGGCTTCATCTGAAAGTGCTCAAAAAGCTGATTTCACAGTATTTTTCATAATTTTTTTCTGATATGGGAAATAGTATGAAACAGATTTAAAAGTGAGAAAATGCACCGCCCAAAGGCATCATTTCCCATTTTAACACACATATTTTAGCAGAATAGATCATTTTGTCATATCTTCTCCAATAATTGTTCAATTCATGAACAAGGGGTATCCTCGTGTTCAGTTCACTCAGTAGTTTCAACTTACACACGAGATTCATAAAATTTTGAACACCTGTAAATTCTCTATTAATGCAAGAAACTGCTCCATCTGAGATTATCTGAATAACCAAAGGAAATTTTACAGAAACTTTAATTGGATTTCCTTTGACAAAATAAGACTTGAGAGGAAATTAGGCAATTTCAAATGCAGTTATGTTGATTCTAATTGAATCTACCTAGTTATAGTTTTGTTGTAAACACTAAACTTTTGGTAAGGAGTGTAGCCAAGTGCTAGAAATAATGTAACAACTTCTTTTAAAACAAAAAACCTTACATTTTATTAATTAACTTTGACCAGAGGTGAAAGTTAATTAATAAAATGAAAGGTTTTTTTTTTAAAGAAAATGTTACATTATTTCTAGCACTCGGATACACTCCATACCAATATATTCAGTGCTACTGCCTTTTAGACATTGTGTAATACGATGTTCGCTGAACTTGATTAAACTTTCAGTGAAAGGAAAAATCTCACCGTTTCATCATACATCATTGTTGCCTGTTTTTGAACCATACTCTGTTGCTGCATAGGGACCAATTGATTATCTAGATTGATGGCTACTTGCTCATCTTGAAGGAGCACCGAGTTTTTGAGCGGACTCGAGACGGATGCACTTGGAAGAGGGGATGAAAACTGATCTCTCCTGGCTTTTGCTTGTTTTAGGCTCTGAAAAGACACATGGGTTGAGATTAGGATACTTGGGCACTTAGGTGCTTTTTCTAGCAGGCACAGTGAAAAGAGATAAATAAATATTTTATTGTCATTCTGGTCCTTGCACACGAACTAGCTCAGGTTAACAGAATGAATTCATTCCGTTAATTACAGTTACGATTCTAACTATCTTCGACATTTTTCAGAGACTCCGCAGTTTGGATGTCTTTGATTAGACTTTAACTCCACTTCAAAAAATGCCTCTTGAACTATCTTTTGCATAATAATTTATGTTATGTTTAATATTATGTTATGTTTTATATTATGTTTAATATTATTAGACACAACATGGATAGTGGATATATGTTAGATGCCAACATCCGACAAGTATTATCTTGTGCTTGTTTTTTCAGAAAGGACTGCCACCAAGAACATGCTGGAGCATAAGAAAAATTTTCTTTTACTATTCCGCAAACATCATACTCTCTTACACAACCAATGAGACAGTGGTATCCATTTTTTTAAATTTATTATTCAAAAGTGCGGAGAGAGATGAGCTTCTAAGAATTTTTCCCGACTTTTTCAAACCCGAATGACGAAGAGACTCCGTTTCAAAAATGACAAAATTGCAACTAGTTTAACGGTATTTTTGGCAGGCTATGGTAGTGTAGCCAGAAAGGGGAACCAGCGTTTGCTGATTGGCTGAACTCAGCTTGAGGCTTTGCCTTGCTATGTCAACTCGAAGCTCAGTTTTTGATTGGTCAGATTTTGATGTGCTTTTTCTTCCTTTAGAAGTGCTTCTATGAGTTTTTTGGTTTTTTCTTGAACTGTCACATGGGATAAACGGTACTACAACACTGTAAAAGTTCCTTGCCATTGCCCTAATTTTATACTTATAAAGTCTGAGTTGATGAACTCTGCAAAAGTTATCATCAGCAAGAAAAGAATCACCTTTGGCCTCACAGACTGAACTCTAATTTTAAACTTTTTTAACTTACTTCCGTCCGAACTTCTAGGACTTGTTTAAATTCTGAAGACATGGAAGCTAGTTTTGACTGGAGCGCTATCACAACACTAGATGAATGTGACAAAAGGTGATGTCGTCCATTGTTCTGTTGTGACTGTTTTTGAAAATTAGCCACTTCATGTAGTTTCCCAATCTCCTTTCGCAAACAGTCAATATCTTCTTTGATGATGTACGTCAATTCCTGAATTTCTGTTGGTCTATCATTAAATAGAGACTTCCGCTTTGCCACTGTATCAAACAAACCAAAACTGGTAAGATAAAAGTTCCGATTGTGAGTGGATTGATAATCAATTAGAATCATCTTTGGCAGGTTCTACTCATGTATAGGTTCTTAAAAATCAGCTTGGGCACTAGAGATAAAAGTATCCACTCAAATTTTATACTTGATAATAATTATCGAGTGTTAAGTAATTGATCTTTTTCAAAATTATTTTGAACAAGATCAGTTACAAAGAGTCAAATATTAGTGCTGATTTTTCCTGCAAGCTGAAAAAACAAATAATGCTATTGATATAGGACTGCTTCTTAATAGGCAAGCACTATTCCAAAGCATACAACTTTGGGTATCTTTAACAGTGGTCATGACACACTGCAGTAGGAATTGAATGACACTTCGGTGCTACTTTTAGGAGAGTTTTGAGGTTTCATTTACACAACCAATTATTCTAATAAATGCTGTCAAGCACCATAAAGTGGATATGTACATTTCTTTAAAGTTAACAGCATTTTATTAGTCTGCTTAGCAACCTTTCTGTGTTTTCCTCTGTGATTTTCTGTCCTATCTCAGTTTGACTTAGTTGGACCTAAGTTTGGAAGAATTATCCTTTTTTTTTCTCCTTTCTTCTCTGAATAAACTCGAGGTAATGACTTTTTCATCAAATTTATAATAAATCTGAATTTGACCATTAATCTGTTCAGACTTAGACGTAGGATAGGAGTTCTATTGCATTTAAGCTGAACAGCCGCAACTGTGCACAAAGGAAACATTACGAGAAGGAAGCATTTATCATTAATAACTCATTAAGACTACTGTGAATTGGAATCGATGTGCAATACAAAGGGCATTGCTTGCTTCAAATGAGATGGTTTAAAAAAATAAATTGAAAATTGATTGATGAAAAATTTTTGCGCACACTTACAAAAAGTTAATTTTTCTAGTTTTGCATAAGTGCTACTGATATGTTTTCCTATTACTTTTGCCGTGTCCATAAATTCTCTATAACTTTGAAGTGATTTTGCTTTTCGCGGGTCCTGAGATTGTCTAACCACAGTTTTAATCTGTCTGAACTGGAGCGATTGGACCGCATTGCAAAATTCCTTTGTCCGGTCTCGACTTGACATTTTAGCCACAGGTTGTAAATTCAGGCCTTTGTTGGGAGCAGATCCTGTTTCATCGCAATTGTAGATGCTCGGATTTAAACTTGAGCTGCCAGGAAAGCTAATAGTGTCCCAATCCCCTCCTTGATCTAGTTCTGAGCCAACCCTTCGGCGACGAGCTGTCATTTGACTCGACCACAAAATGCATCAATCTGTAAAAAGTGTAAGGCATAAGATGAAAATCCAGTTAACCATGAAGGGATTGGTAGTCATAGAGAAATCTCTGAGATATACTTCAGTTTGAAAACACAGGATGATGGAAAATACTTCACTCGCAACAGCCATTTGAACTGGATAACACTGTAGATTTAAGTTGGTAAACAAAAAAAAGTACGTCATAGTTCAGAATGTGGACTAGTGTTCTGCCTTCCTCCTACAATTTTAGGAGCCACCTTGGCCGGAAAGCTCAATTCTTAGGAGCCAAATTAAATTTTTGCATGCGGGCCATAGCAAATGAAAATTTTTGGAAGGCATGAAATTCTCGCTCTCGGGCTGCGCTGCAAACGGTGCGTATAGAGAGCGCTTCATTGCTACCGCTGTTACCCGATTGCAAGTTCAATCCATCACATTTTTAAGGGGCCACAATGGCCCAGCCCCCCAATTTTTAGGCACAAAGGCCCGATTTTTAGGTGCATTTAGCGCATGGCTCCCGGGGAAGGCAGAACACTGATGTGGACTGTTCAAAAACCTGGTGAAGGCCTCAACCATTCTTATACTATACATTATGGCGCCATCTAGTTGGTCCGGAGCAAGGATTGCTCTAGTATTCAACCAAGCATTCATGGAAAGTAACATCGAATTTTATCTGGACTTTGCTCGGTAGAAATGAGGTTTCTAAAGAGAAGGTTTTTAAATACAACATATTGGTCAGTAGATTATTTCTTTAACTCTCCGGAGAAGATTAATCTGTTCTACTGTATGATGACCATACTGTGTAAATGGCAAATATAAGAACTCTATTATAAGGTGCATACGACTGTCAAAAGGGCTAATGGCAAAATTACACATATTTCTGTCAAACAAAACTATGTGCACTAAGACATGAGCCCTGAGACCCATAAGAATATATGCATGACAGGGCGCACGTTATAATGCACATAGTTTCGTTTGACAGAAATACGTCAAATTGGTCCTGATTTCAAATTGTCTCTTCGATGGACACCACTGATTCTTCAGCATCGAAATATGAGGTTACAAAAGGTCCAAGTCTGCAACTTTAGTTCAACGTGTTTGGACGCAATTGTGATATGCATCAGCCTCAACGGTGCTTACCAATTAGTCTCATTCGGAGTTTTACGTCATTCTTGAACTCATGTTAGAGTTGCGTACTTAACCTGTGACTGCCAGGGCTGTGCAATACTCAACCTGTCTACCCAGTATCTCTAAGCCAGTACAAAGGCTGCGGACAAGGTCTGAGATAGTCAACATATTTGGCAAATATTAGGGTTGAGTTGTTACTGTCAGATCTCTGAGCGCTATCATTAAAGCATCCCTCGACACATTTATATTTCAAACAGTTGACCTGTCGAGTTGGTATTGGTCGCCACCAAACTTGTGCTGTGAACCTTAAAACAAGAATTGTCGGTCACTAACCTCACTCGGAGTCCTCTGCGACTCCCTCATAAAATTGGACTTCAGGTAGTTCCAACTAGCGGTGATGACAAGATTCTGATCCTACGAATGACAGATGTCACAAGTAAATTCACAGTTGATTAATGATGCCCACAAATGATCATTACTTGGAGCTTTATCAGTTGCTGATGGATGGAAAAAAATGATATTGCGAATGAAACTGACAATTAAAACTGAGATTGATATACTTTACACTGTTATCCATCAGTTTTCAAACTTATCTACTCATAAGAAACTGTCTGGATTAGGTGCAGGAAGAACAAACTGAAAACTGAAACACACCATTCCATATTATAAAACAGCAGAGCTAAACCATGCTAAACTCGATTATTCAAATTCAAATTACCTAAATTCATGGATAAAATTGTGAACTTGTAGGAACTATTGGAGGAAATTGGTAATTTCTAACCTACACGTCACAACAAACACGTAAGAAACGGCGGGGTGCATGGAGAAAAAGAAGAAGCGGCGGTGGCAGGCGGAGAAGAAATGTACTTTTCTACGTCACAGCTAAAAATGAAACCGCCCTTCTGATTGGTCAATAGGACCGCGGGAAAACCGAGACCTCTTTGAAATTTAAAACGGAGTGGGAAAGGTCCCACTTACGTGGGCTCTAACACCTCGGAACTATGACTCTTCATGTTTCAGAATGTTTTTCTATCAATGTTCGACTGGAGCTGAAAATAATTTGGAAGTTAAAAATATATATTTCATATAATAACAACTTTTACCTCGACTCATCCTGTTTTGAAGGTATAAGAGGGGGTATTTTCAATATTTTATGGAGAAACGCACTTAATGTTAACTTTTTACCCATATTCTAGCGTATTCGTATTCTGTAAGTGTTTTTCCACTGAAATAAAGGGACTCAAGTTTTTTTATGGATCCTTAGGTTCTAGTTATTGATCCTTGGAGGTCAGAGTACAAAGAAGCAGTTTCATTTCTTTGAGAAAAATGAGTCGGAATTTCTAAATTTCATGGCACCAAATGGTCGAAATGAATTTTGACCATAAATTATACAGCTTAAAAATGATGCTTTGATGTTCAACTGTAAAAAGTGTCACATTGCGACTAGCTTCAGTAGAGCACCAATACAACTATCTTTAAACCTTTTTCTTTATTTTTCTTTTTTGGTTCAGTTATTTTTTTTTTTCAAAATCTGAACTTGCGCCTACCTCTCCAAATATCTCACATTTGAAAGAAAACAGATTGAAAATTGTTTTCTTCTTCTCTATTCCTTGTTTCAATCAAATAGTTAAGACCTTAGAAAGTTAGAAGCTTACAGAAGGCAAAAGAGGGCTTGTAGTAAAACTAAAAACTTCACATACTATAGTTGTACAAAAATGCATTTATTATTAGGAGTACAAAGAAGAACGTATGATTTAATTAGCAGCCAGAAACAGTATCACAAGGCAGATTGCATTTTATGCAGTGAAAATTATAAATATGCAGGTGCGAAAATCAAAATTGACAAAAAACATTGCGGAAAACCCTACCTGAAATAGGTATACTATCATTTTTTATACAATTTAATTTATACAACCTATACAAATTGGTAATGTTTCCAATATCTGATGGCAGATACAGCTTTTTAACGTTTTTTCTACAGTAATGTGATGGCACTGCCGGAATACTGTCAATGAATTGTTAGGCATACCTAATCCGATCAGTTTCAGCTTTGTTAGAAGGTGTATGTTTACCTCTGGCATCGGTTTTGGCGTGATTGCCAGTGGAACTTGTTTTCAGAGCAAGGCGGAAGGCCATTGGGCTGACATCTAAGGTGGCACATAAAAATTTAAGACAATTTTTTTTTATTTTGTTCAATGCCATTGATGTTTAATTTATATTCTGTATTAAAGAAGCAGCTTGACTCACCACCCTTCTTTCTATGCCTTTTCACATGGACCTGCTTCATTCAACTTAACAACCAATTCTTCTTTTGAGTAATAGTCTTTGAGACCATGGTATTCAACAAAAATTATTTTCCTATCTTTTTCAAAAATGCTTTTACAATTTTTATAACAGGAAGTATTATCACAGCATGGATTTGGCTTCATTGATTTATTGGACCCTGCATCAGCGGCCATTTTTTTCATTTGTCTTTTATTAATGCGTTTTTTTTTCAATTTAGGAGAGTCAATTTGAACAGAATTTTGGGACGAGAGAGGAGAAGTTTGGAAAATAGAAGAACTAGGTTTGCAAGGCTCAACAACAGGGTCTTGAAAAATAGAGTCTTGTAGAAACAAACTAGAGGAAGTATGTTTGGTAAGATCAAAAACTGGATCTTGAAGAATTGAGTCTTGTATAGGCAGAGCAGAAGAACTAGTTTTGTTAAGGCGACTCGTCAAGCTCAAGTGACGTAGTCGAACTGGCATGTGATATATCGCATCTTTTAGGTAAAAAATCTCGGCAGATTTTGAATTTTCAGCAAAAAAAAGGACGATAGCCCCAGCGTATGAGCCTAAAGAATCATTCTAAACCCAAAAATCGGCAAAATTCAGAGAAATGAAAGCAGAATAGTGTTTGGAAAAAAACCTCGCATTCGATAGCTGAATCGAATGCGAGGTTTTTTTCCAAACACTATCCTGCTTTCATTTCTCTGAGTTTTACCGATTTTAGGGTTTAGAATGATTCTTTAGGCTCATGCGCAGGGGCTATCGTCCTTTTTTTGCTGAAAATTCAAAATCTGCCGAGATTTTGTACCTAAAAGATGCGATACATCGCATGCCAGTTCGACTACGTCACTTGAGCTTGACGAGTCGCCTTAACAAAACTAGTTCTTCTGCTCTGCCTATACAAGACTCAATTCTTCAAGATCCAGTTTTTGATCTTACCAAACATACTTCCTCTAGTTTGTTTCTACAAGACTCTATTTTTCAAGACCCTGTTGTTGAGCCTTGCAAACCTAGTTCTTCTATTTTCCAGCCAGTTCGACCACTTCTTTGGAGCTTGACGAATCACCTTAAGTTCACCTTAAGTCTGGATCTTGAAAAGGTGGATCTTGCGGAAAATTTTGAAGCTGTTGGACATAGACAATCTGTCCTAGTTGTATTAATGCTATGTTGGTAGTACCTATTCAGCTTTATGTTGGTAGTACCTATTCAAGTGCACCTCTGGTGCTAACCTCTGTTATCTTTGTAAGATCCGCCATGATCCTCTAATTGCTCATGTACTTCTCTCTATACAGCTTGTGTCTAATGGCCTAATCCTCTGCGTTCTCGTTCTCTTCTTCCTAAATGATCGCTCCAACAGAAGCAAAGAAGAATCAGAGGTATCTACAAGAACATAAGTGTAATTACTATCAGGTACACGATCCATGACGTTAAAGTCAAAGCTGATTGGCACTCCACTAGCCAACAATACTTCCCAATTTATTTGGGAATTCAAATTTTCTTCGCACATCTGGAACATGCAGAAATAGAAATAATTAGAATTGCTCAGAAACTTTTGAATTGAAACTGAATAAAAGCTTAATTCTGAAATGTACTGCTTTAATTGTAGAATCAATCAAATCATTAGGGCCTATTACATTGATTTTTTCCAGCAAGTACTGATACAGGGACAAGATACACTGGCCAATCGTTCGAAGTTAGAGGGAGTACATGGTATCACAACCTACAAGCCTCGATCAATAGGATGCGTTGAGAGCTCTGTGGGGTACAAATTTCTGGAATGGTACAACCGCACCATTTTGGATATTTTGGTGTTACTTTCCTTTTTGCTGGCCCTTGCAGAGCTTCCTACAGTTAGATAGAAAAAATACTTTCCTGTTATAATTTCGTAAAACTAGGCTAATGATTAAATAAAAAAATTGTGATGGAAAAATTCTCCTTCAAAACAAGCAATACTTTCTATCTAAGTAAACATGTACACCTTAAAATACTGACTCTAGGTTTGCTTTGACGGCTGTAATTGAATCAGTGAGGATGAAAAAATGCCAACTTAGAAAAATGTCAATGTTCAGAGGACCCATTAAACTGCACAGTAGCGCATCCATGCGTATTTACAGTGCATCCATTGCAATTTAGCGTTTTGAGTGTCTTTCCATACACCTTTTTTGGCACTAAAAAGCTTTTTTACACTGACCATTTCACCTACTGTGCAGTTTTTGGCGTCTCCTGAACATTTTAATTTTTCCCAGTTTTTCATTCTCACTGCTTTAATTAGAAGTGTTCTATCCATCCTTTTTGGACAGTGCAGATTGCAAGTTCTTGCATTGACTCTTTGTTGGATGGACTGGGTGGTGGTGAGAGTCTAAAATAGGAAGTGCTTCATACAAACGTCAGTCAGTTTCTAATGTACTCAAACACACTGTGGCTCAGCTTTTTAAGACTCAATAAATGATTGCCATATTCAAAACTGTAGTCAGATGCAAACTGAGTGTAAATGATGAAAAAATTAAGGTTCTTAGCTTGCCATGAGAAAATGAGAAAGGAGAATCATTCTTTTCCTTTGATATATCTCATCTATTAGGAATGACATCACACTTTAATACATATTTTGACTCTACCTGTATGCACATCAATTAAACCCTATCTTCACTTTTTGGGTTCTGTAGACCACTGGAAACTTGGTAAAGATTATTAAATATAGGTACAAGACCAAGAACTCACCTCTTTTCAACTGGATGTTCAGGGTCAGCATTTAAACAGTCCTCTGATGACTGGCTGAGTTAAAGGCAGATCAGTCTTCAAAAAATAGAAAACACAGTAAGCAAGTTAGGGATGCTATAGCCGCCGACACTTGTAGGCACTATGTAGAGGAATTACCACCTTGAACAGGACCAAGAACTGCTTGTGTTCAATTTCGCATTGTAGAGAAAATCCAATGAAACCTCCTGAAAAATAAAACAATGAAAATTTCAAGCCGGAAAAATACAGTAGTAGTAAAAGTTAAGGTTAAAAAGTTGCCTACCACAATGTTTTAGGTACATAGCGATGGTGAAACTGCAAATAGCGTATGTAGGGGCATGGGACGTGCCCATTTTTAGAAGTTTTCTTTATGTTCGTCTTTTGCAGTCTTTTAAGTATTATTCGCCCAGTGAGGCAACAGTGCGTTATATAAGTTTTATATAAGACTTGTTTTCTTTGCTTGTTATATAACCCATTGATTGTTATGTAATCACTATGCCTTGTTGCATAACCCATTGGCGGTCACGCAACTACTATTTTCACATTATGTAACTCAAGGTCAGAATTACGCAACCATTTCTATATAAGCCCGTGCGGTCAGACAGGCAGCGGTTAGTCTTTCTCTTCGCTCTGTCTTTGCACGCCGGTCAAGGCTGCTTCCTCTCACCTTTCGGGCACGCTGGTAAAAGCTGCCACTTTCTAACTTTCT